ATAGAACATGAGAGGGAGCGTGTTATCGCGAAATAACATCACGGCTGTGATTTGGTTGCAGATCATCACAGCCATGATGTAAAAATGTAACTTTTTATATTTTAAATAAATAAAGTAAGAAATAAATAAATTGGGCCGTGAAAGTGGCATTTAATATGTTTTAATGTTAGCAGTTCCTTCCGCCAAATTATAGTTCCTTAACAAGCGGCTTGTTGAGTAGAGTAACGTCACAGTAACGAGCTCCGCCCACTCGCTGCTGTCAAATGTGATCTTAAAAGTATCCATTTTCTGTTTGTGCACAAAGTAAGAAGCAAAAACATTCAAATGGCTTGAGCGTCTCCTACAGCTGTCAAAGTTGTTGCTTAGCAACATCGTCTCAGCGGAGTGATACAGTGTTTATGAAAAACCTGTGATGTTATGGCGAAATAACAGCCAATCAGCTTGCATGCGTTATACTGTTGTATAATATGTCATATTCCATGGCACAACATCCCTTCCCCCAGCCTCATCAGACAGAATTCATGAATTTGCGATCCATCATTTTTTTTTCTTTTTGTATTTTCATCCATTAAAGTTTTCTCATTTCCATTCCCTGCATCCATTATGTATGGTTATGCAGTCACTGGGAGACCCCCTATGGTGGTAGAGAAATGCATTGTGAATGCAGAGGCCAGTAAATCCAGATGTGATATTCAGTTCCTACCAGTAACATCAACTATCTGTCTTTCTTCTGCGTTCACCAGCCTGCCTTCAAGTTTTAGTTTTCAAAAGAGCAAAGATACATCTTTCAAGATACATCATCAAAAGGGAGTTTTTCTAATGTTTAAACCAAAAACTCTCGATCTAGAGACTTTTGTGACACCACTGTAGTAGATCATTAGGCATGTTTACAACTCATGAAACAATTGTTACATTTTTTCATCATGGCTGGAGTACCCCTGTTTAAATCTAACAGGGTGACCCCACGTTTATAGCTAAACAACCTCACATTTGGCATCTTTTAAATGGGCTGGACTGAGTACTCCAACCCTTCCATTTGATTGTCAGAACCTTTAGGTCCACTGCAGTATTTCTGCACAGGTGTTGTAATAAAAAGAACAGTTTACAGAGAAATGTTTGGTTCAGTGTGAATAGAAAACACTTATTTCTGTCTCCTTCCAGCTGCTTTTCTGTTTTCTGTTTGGGCAATGTAGGCAGGGCCATGTAGGCATTACATGCCTTTGGTTCTGGATCTATAAATAAGCAGTAGGATGTTGATAAAAGACACGCAATAATAATTAACAGAATAGGTGCCTACGGGCGCTGCTCTTATTGGTGTATGAATTTAAAATTCATTTAATGATTGTAATAAGGCCTTCTTAAATTGGCTACAAGTGTTAAATAAGCCTCTCTAATTCTGTCTAGTGGTTTCTAAATAGGCTTTTCAGAAGGCGATAGCCTATAGCTTTGATGTCAAATCCATCAGAATGCTAATTTACCGTGTTTACCTTGTGTGTCAGTCTTTGGAAGCCAGAGCTCAGTCCATGTAGTCACTGCTTTAAAACCATTGCACACAGTTAACTCTCAGCCCACCTGGTAAAACTGCCTGTGACTCATCTTTTTCCTTACCATTTTGCCTAAATGTGTTTTTTTCTAATAGCGTTTAATTTATGGAGTTAATCAGAGCATTGTTAATTACATGAATATTTCAGAGGCATGCTCATTAAGTGTGGTACGTGGCACATGGACAATGGGAGGGTATAATTGATAGGTCCAATTACCACATGACTAAACCTGACTGCGATGGCAAACGCATTAGAGATGGCAGCGACTCTCTCTAAAGTACTGCACTGCTACACTGTAATGCATTACATTTAAAATTCAGGTATTCATTTTACTTGATTCAAATGTGTGCATAATTTCCACGTGAATAAAATATATTACATCAGCACAATTATTGGCAGAGTAAGTAAACAGAAAGACAGAATTGTGTGTGTGTGTGTGTAATATGTATTATTCATATGGTAATAATGTACACGTTTGAATCTAGTATATTTAATACATCACTTTTTTCTGTTTAGCAGAGAGTAGAGCAGAATGTAACATTTTGGATTATGGTAATTCTTTTTTTTTTATATTTGGAGGTTAATAATTGTTTTATACAAGAAACATCTCTGCTACAAACCTCCCAGTACCTACCGTTTATAAACAGTTTGGCAGAAAGTAGCGTGTGCAAGGGTTACTTGCCCCATTGGCAGGGTAAATTGTAACAGATAAAGCAGTTAGTTGTAGCATTCAGTATGAAAGTCTGATAAATTGATACACAGACAACTAATTCACACAATACAGTTCTGTTTTGTTTGAACCAGACAAGCTTTCCAACCTAAACACGTAAAAATATCTGTGTGTAAAATGTGGTTTAACCACGAAATAATAGCAAATATCAGCATAATAGAACAGAAATATTCAACCCCATTCCCAAAAATGTTGGGACGCTTTGAGAAATATAAATAAAAACAAAATTCAGTGATGTGCAAATCATGGGGTTGTACATAATTTCATGTACACGACATCTATAGGACATTAATGATCAATTTGTGAATAAAACATCATGGCTGTGTTCCAAACTGAAGAAAGCAGTCTCAGTGTCTTGCTTCCTGTGCTGTCTCATAAGTCAGTGCCTGAAAGGCAGCGTTGTGATGAAGGTATCTGCAATGGACTTGCAAACTAGTCCCTCTCCTCCACTGTGCCAGCGCTGGTGTTTTATTCTACTTTTTCCCCCACCGGTGCTGATTATGGGTAATGTAAGGCAGCGAAGCATACATCAACACTTCCTTCAAAAAAATGGATAAATGGTGGAACCTCAGCAGGCAGCATCTTATACAAACCTTTGATTCGGCATGACCGGGTGCCCCCAAGTCTCCAGCCTCAGAATACTGCATGAGTAGGCAATGTTTATTATGTTTCAGACACTGCCAGTGTCACTGAGGCGAAGCACTGCTCTTATGAACCCTCGTAAGCTGTTTGACTGTTAGTGGATATTTTTTTTTGCCTACTAAACATTTACAGGCCAGTTCCATGAAGTGCTTTGCATCTAAAAATGAACTGTTGTGAATTTATTTATTTATTTAATTTTAATATGGGCTTCTCTTGTTGTTTAAGAGACTAACCCGAAAACTAACGCTGTCGTGTGAAGGCTGCGTCTGCTCTGGCTAGCTCTCACTGTGACTTGTTTACATGCTTCAAAAAGGTACCATGTTATAGGAATAAAGAAGGTGATTCAAATAATTTGGGTTTGAATTCTTATACCGGCAGCTCAATAATTGAAAAACATATGAAAAAAAAAAATCATTGACCTGGGGAAATCTCAAAAAAAACTGTCTGAGTGCTATAAAACTTGCAGATGTGGAAAAGAAAGAGACCAAAGCATGTTTGGTTTGAACCTGTTTAAGTGCATGCAGGAACCTAGCCCCCTCTAGAATAGTTACCAGAAGTTGAATAAAATGACTGATACAAAAAAGGGGAAAAAATGACAGCATGACAATTATAGCATAGGAAACTATAAACTGACAGGGTATTATAATCATATTATGTGTTAACACATAATTATGCTTTCACTTTTTGATTTTGATGTGGAAAGTGTTACCAAACCGGTCAAACTCTCATTTAAAAAGGGAAAAAATTTGACAGGAATATGTCGGTCCACTGCTTGTTTTGCATAATAAGTAAAACAATATTTTCACATTGTAGGCATTGTGATCCATATTTCCTCTCACCAGCACTGTAAAGAAATCTGATTCTGTAAGTTTCTCTACAATGAACCTAAAACTAACCCTGCTGTGTGGAGGCTAACCGTGTGTACTGGCAGCACAATAATCGAAAAACACTCAAAAATAAGGACTGACATGGTGAAGTCTGAAGAAAAATCTGTCCGATTGCTATGACAACTTGCAGCTGTGGAAAGGAAAGAGACCAAAAGCATGTTCGGTTTGAACCTATTTAAGTGCATGCAGAATATATATAACATATTACACGTTAGGTTGTGCCCCACTCTCACCTCCCATCATATCACAGGGTGAATGCATAGTAGACACATGGAATTCTTTGAAATGGACATTTTCTAAATACGGTGAATTAACACAATACGCAGTAGAAGCTCTCAACTGGAGTCTCTCGAGTGCTCTACAGCATACAGTCTCAGAATCCTCAGAATGAGGAAAGCGCTTCTTAACAATACGCTTTTAATGAGATATCTTTGTTTAAATGGCTGTAAAATTGGCTCGTGATGGATTAACAATAATACCTCATTCTTTCTGCTTCTGTGAAATGGGGACATGGATATGAGGAAACATGTGAGTGATATTATACTGGTGTGAAAGGTTTCATAAAGAACGAATTCGTGCATACATTATTCATTTTAATGATCCATATTATAGCCTGTACATGTGCAGCACTCAATCCACATAGAGCAGTGTGAAATTGCGAAGGTGAAAACCAATACAAAGGTGATTCTGACAGCACTCTTGCGTTGAATATGTTCCTATTGATAGCTCACATGCATAGTGGAGCCCTTGAGGTAGTACTATACTTAAGCACTAAGTGTAGGTTCTGCGTGGGCGTCAGGGGGGTGCATTGGTGGGGGGTGGGGGTGTATATGTAGTATGTAATAGGCCCTATAAAACGGCACAGACATAACAAAGGCACCAATGTGAGGACAGATTTTCTACCCCACCTCACTTCCAGTTTAAGCCATTGTTCTCTAGCGTATATAAAATGAAAAGAGCTGTGAAGTGTCAAGAAAAATGTAATATTGCTTCTTTTTTCTTGCTCAAAAGTAACTGTGTATGTACTATACTTTTTTTTTCCCATGCCATTATGCTGGTAGCTGCCTATCCCCGACAGGAAATACTAAGTTAGCACATTTTCCACTCGAGTTTCTTTTTTTCTTTGCCAGTTCTAGACATTTAACCACTTTCTTCCATTTTCATTTTCTCCTTTCTCTCTTTTTCTCCCCTCTGCAGGCCTGCCAGCCCTCGTTGTTGCTGTATCTGTAGGATTCACTAGAGCTAGAGGTTACGGCACAGCAAGCTAGTGAGTACCTTTTACTGCTCAACTTCAAATAAATCATATCTTGGCAAGTGAAAGCACTTTAAATGTAAGCAATATGCACTTAATGTCCAAAAGTATCCAGACATCAGCTACTTTAAGCTACACCCATTGCAGACACAGGCGTTCATTTGTGCACACATAGCTTGCCTAATCTCCCTAGAAAAGCACTGACCAATAGAATAGGATGCTCTGGAGCAGCCATGCATGAGTCCAAGGTCACCATACCCAATGCCAAGCCCCCCATCACTGGGCTGTGGAGCAGCGGAACTGCATTATCTAGAGTGATGGAGCTCCATCCAGTGCCTCTGGGATGAGTTGGAGTGGCATTTGTGATCCAGAATTAATCATCCAACATGAGCACTTGTCCTTACTAATGCTTGTGTGGCTGGATGCAATCAAATCCACACAGCAATGTTCCAACATCTAGTGTAAAACCTTCCCAGAAGAGTGTAAGCTGTTACTGCAGCAAAGAGGGAAAACCTCTACATTAATACTCTTGATTTCGGAAGAAATTATGGATGAGCAGGTGGCTACAAACCTTTAGACAAGCATCTAATATTGCACATTATGAGATAGTTGTAAGAATATTTTAAAGCGCTTGTATCACAGAAAACTGAATTTTCCTTGCTTTTTTGCTCTTTTTAATAAAAGAATTTTGTGCAATATGTAAACACTGTTTAAGTTTCAAATGCAATGTCTGAAAAATCAGTGCATTTCTGTATATAGTCATATGCAAAAGTTTGAACACTCACAGTTATATGTAACAATAAGTTAAGTTCCCTTCTACAGGGAACAAACTTAAATATAAATTTTTCTGCAAAGTTTACAATTTCTGTTCATTTTTTGAGCTTGACATATTGAAAAAATAAAACATGATACAAAACGTGCTGTAACTTTTGCACAGGACACATTTTATGTGAAGAAGAACCGTTTTGTCCTTTCAACAAAAATCAAACCTTGCAACAAATCCCAAACCCATGGGAGCCACAACATTATGTCGATTTTACCATCTTGGCTGTAAACATGTCATGTTTGTGCTTTGCTCCGCTTCAAGCTTTAGCTCAGCTATAGCCACTTTTCTCGCATCTCTGGCAGAAAACTTCTAATTTCTTATAAAATGTCTCACAATGTTCAACTTTATGAGGCTGAAGTCAGTTTCTCATTTACCAGCTTTTGGTGCGAATTTTCCCGTTCCACCTTAAATGGTGCCAGAGGTGTCAGACTGTAACCGCTGCACCATTTAAGGTGGAACGGGAAGATTCGAGCAAGAAACTGGCGAATGAGATTCGGACTTCAGCTTCACGACTTTTTAGTATTTGGCAGTTTCTTGTTGCAGATTAAACGTACCAGGAAACCAGCTGAGAGCTTATAAATGCAAATAAGTCCATTCGTCACCAAATGATCAATGTTCATCTTAAATCTTTCTCTTTGCCTTTTCGTTAGCTACTAACTAGGCGAGGTTGTTGTCTGTGTTGCTTTGGTGACCAGCACTCTGCGTGCCAACCTTCAGGGTTAAAGGGTGAATTAGCAGTTATCGGCTACATTAACTCCAGTGTTTAAGACCATTTATTGTTAAAACTGTGATGAACGATCAGCAGAGCTTTATTTTACTGCAAAGGATTATTTTATTTTTATCTAAAAATCTAATTCTGCTGTGGAGCTGCAACAGGGCAGTAAAAGACCCACCTGATGCCGACCCCTGATCTAAGAGATAAACAGAGGTTGGAAAATGAGAATTAAAAAACAAAGAACTGTTGTTGGTACATAAAACCACACAATCTCATTAGTGGAACCTACTTTATTATTCAGACTATTTCTAGGAAATGATCTGCCGGTGTAGTAAGGTAATTTCATTTTATGAGATCACTTTAAATAACTTTAACTTACCAATATGTCATTTTTTGGCAGCGTAACTCTAGCAACCTGGAGAAAAGTGAACGAAGGCTTAAATTCTGTCTTGTCCTTGAACTCTTAGCTGCCCAGTTACCAACTTTCTGCAGCTCTGTGAAGTGAAAGGCTTTTCTTTGTATTCTTCTGACAGGCCATTGATTTGAGCAAGTGCGCTACTTGACTAATCAGAGAGAGAGGTTGAAAACAAAATGGTCTTCTAGCCATTTAATTGGTCACGTCTGTCAAGTAAGGGCAGCCACAGAACTATGAGAAAGTGACGGGCAGAGTTTCTCCTCAGATGAACCTAACACTGTCCAACTGTCCCTCCAGAAAGTGTGTAGCCTACAGAAAGGACACTCAGCAGCATTGGCGTCCCTGTAGCCTTCACACTTTTTTACCAGCCGCTGCGTCCACCTGGGGGATGATATAGAGGAGCATGAGGAAGCATATTTCACCCTCTCTACACTGGACAAACAGAGAGAGAGAGAGAGAGAGAGAGAGAGAGAGAGAGAGAGAGATTGAGATTGAGTGACGGATGAGGGAGAATGTATCACTGATAATGATCAGTGTGGAGTCAAACGGAACAAAATACATTCTTTAGCCTCTCACTACTCACTCACTCACTCACTCACTCACTCACTCACTCACTCTCTCACTCACTCTCTCTTTCCCTTTTACTTTCTTCTCCTCTCTGTTTCCGTGACTCCCCTCTCTCTCTTTCGCACTCCCTCTCTCTCTCTCTCTCTCTCCCCAACAATTCATTTTCTCTTAGTTCCCTGTCTTTTTCTCACACTTTCCTCCCCAACACTCCATTCTCTCTCTCTCTCTCTCTCTCTCTCTCTCTCTCTCTCTCTCTCTCTCCTCCCCAACACTCCATTTTCTCTCTCTCTCTCTCTCTTTTTCCTCACTCTTTCCTCCCAACACTCCTTTTTCTCTCTCTTCCCCCTCTTTTTCTCACACTTTCCTCTCCAACACTCCATTTTCTCTCTCTCTGTCTGTCTCTCTCTTTCCTCCCCAACACTCCATTTTTTCTCTCTTTTTTTCATTCTTTCCCCCAACACTCCATTTTGTCCCTCCCTCCCCTCTCTCCTTTTCTCACACTTTCCTCCCCAACACTCGATTTTCTGTCTGTCTGTCTCTCTCTTTCTCTCTTTTTCTCACTCTTCCCTCCTCAATACTCATTTTCTCTCTCCCTCTATATCATTCTGTCTTTGACCCTTTCTCTCTCTTATTCTTTCCCTCATTATCTCTCATTTTCCCTCTCCCTTATTTCTCTCTCTCTCTCTCTCTCTCTCTCCTCTCTCTCCCCCCCGTTCTCCCTCATTCTTCCTCTTCATGATCTGAACTTGTTTAATTGCGCCTTTAATTGAAAGTATTCAGTTATTTGACAGCTGTTAATGTGTTTCTGATCTGTTGTTTTTTTGTCGCTCAGCTGCTGGTTGTCTCTGGAAGGGGGTCTGCTCTACGCTTTCGTTGGTCCTGCTGCTGTCATTGTTCTGGTAGGTGGCGTCATGCTCTGCACACTTTCATTGGTCAGATTCATCCAGTTTCCCGTCTTTGATGTTCTACAGTCTAAACAAGCAGCAGTTCTGACCTGAGGGAGTACAAACGGACACTAATGAAATTAGTCCAGTTCAATTTTGGATGTGTATATTTTCCATTAGTGTAGCCTGTTTTAATTGCTTGATTAAACTTGTTGAGCTGGGTGTGTGTGTTTGTGTGTAGTCTGGCCTCAGGTGTGAGAGTTATGAACGAGATGGTTTTGCGCTGTGTTTCATGGTCAGATGTGATTTGCATTGTTTGTGTCTGTGCCGTGGTAGTGCTGCTATACAGCCCACTCAGACAAACAGCTGTAAATGAGATTTGGGCATCTGGAGATGCTGCCCTCCTCCTGTGGGAGGCAAATTTAATTAATGGAAAAATAATTAATCTAGTTTTCAGCAAATAGCAGAACGATGTGATTGTCTCTCACCAAGCGTCTAACATGATCAGAATTTGAAAGCCTTGGCATTCGATGGACCTGCTGTTGTCTTTCCATTGATTCACTGAGGAAGCTGTAAACAGCTCTGTTTCAGAGCTGCACTTTAGAGCCTAACTTTACATCCTGGTGCTCTAGTGGAGATTTGCGGTGGTCATGTCTAAGTGGTCAGGCAGAGCTGCAAGATAATCAAAGGGTTCAGAAGGATAACACACGCTAAAATGTCACGACCATATGAGTGTCACTGCAGTGCTGAGAATGATCCACCACCCAGATAATACCTGCTCATTGGGGTCGTAGGGCTCCTGACCGTGGATGAACAGGGTAAAAGGAGGCTAATATATTGTACAGAGTAATTGTGTAATCATAGAACTACAAAGTGCACCTGAAAAAATGGTCTACACTACTAAATACAGTATATTGCTGCTGTTGGAACAAAACATTGTATCTACAAAATGACAACTTTACAGCAGAGGGAAAAAACATATCTTTCTTTCAATATAAGTCAATGGAACCAGACATCTTTACAAGCCATTTTGAGACATTTCCTTTGGTCCATTCATCATAAAATTTACACACAATGTAAAGGATAACAGGCATTTTCTAATTATGTCAAAAACTGAAAAACAACAAAAATGGAGATAGAAGGTTTTATTCTGACCAAAATATTAAAACAGTACCTTGTATCTCTGTTTTTGTGTTTATTTTTTGACATAAAAAGCTGCCTTTTACAGTGTGATGGACCGACAGAAATTGTCCAAAAGTGCTTGGAGTTAAATATCTTTACATTAACTTACATAAAAATTCATAAGTGTTTTTTTTCTTCTTCTGTAAAGTTAAGATTTTAAAGATATGCAGTTTTGTTTTGACAGCAAAGCTTTGCTACCTTATAGGTCCTCTATACAGGTGTACAGTTACAGACTGTAGCCACAAGTTGCCCTTTAGTTCATTCATCATTGACTGACACAAACTTTGCCTTGAAAAAGGCGCCGTTGTGTCTAATTGCTAACTATGTACATTCAAGGTGGAGCATAAAGGTATATGTGCCTAATAAAGTGGCCAGTCAGTGGACACAGTGTTTAAAAACCCCAGCAGTGGCTTTGTGTTGTCTCTGTATGTGCAGGCCAGGGCACCATCTGCTTTCCCCTACTAACCCCATCCTCATTCTGTAGTTTGCACAGGATCAGGAGTTTCAGCATAAGCGGGTGAGAGAGAGAGAAAGAGCGAGCGAGATAGATAGATAGCACAGGACAGAGGGATTACCGTCCCTCCATGATCCATCCGCTCATTTGCTCCCAGGCACAAAGCCAGAACACCTGTCACAGGCTGGTGGAGAGGCACTGCTGGCAGCAGGACACAGTGCCAGGGCTGGATCAGGGGTCAGGGGTTACAACACTGCTTTATTTTCCCTTTCCGCTAATTGTGTTTATACTATTTTGACATAAATATACCTGGAGACAGCCAGGGATTAGCCTGCCTATTTATAGACAGATACCTCCAATAGCATGAAGCACGGAAACAGCCTTGTATGGAAGCTTACATGCTGGCACCAAAGGAAGTTTCAATGGCATTTTACTTGAGTTAATAGAACCCTAAAAAAAGCAGCCGCTTGAGATATGGATCCCAGTGAAAACACAGATATAAAAACGAGAAGTTGTACAAATCAGCACATCAGTGAAATATACCTTTTATCTTCTAGGAGCCTTAGAAGCTACAGAAAGGTCACACCAAAAACAATTTCTGTGATATAAAGAAAGCTTAGAGATTAAATCTGCTGTAATTCTGCAAGAAGAGAAAAATACCTTTTACCATCTACTCCCCACAAGGCGACTGCAGAGTGCTAGCAGCTACAGCGTCATTTGGGGAGCCTAATCCTGCTTGCTTTGTTTTATTCGCACTGCTGGCCAACTGCCTATTGTTTTGTAGTGGTAATAATACAGTGTTCAGTCAGCTCTTGTCTGGCTGAAGGTTTTTCCTGTGGTGACTTTGTCATGAGTAAAGCCTCGTGCTGGTAGAACATTGTTAGAATGTATTTCTCTTTTTTATGTTGAGTTTGTACTGCTGCTTTGTATTGTTATTTAAATAAACAAGTTCTGTTGTCGGAAGAAAACCTTGGATCTCAAAAATGATTTTTCTCCTTTACAGGAGAAGGAAAAATTTTACTTTACTTTGAAAGTAAGTCAATGGAACCAGACGTTTTTCCAAGTCATTTTAGGTCATTTCTTTTAGTCCATTCATCATGAAATTTACATGCAATGTAAGGGGCAACAGGTATTTTTTGACAAATTATGTTAAAAACTGAAAAATGTCAAAAATGAAGATACAAGGTTTTCCTCCAACAACATATAATGTGTAGAGTAGGGGTCTGCACAGGTTATTGAACACTTGATTAAACATTCTAGGTGCCAGTATTCCAATACTATTTAGACAGACCCAGAGTAGGGCTCATTTTCAGACTGGGAGTACACCAGGCAACCTCATACTGAAAATTGCTGAATTTTCTGAAAATTGCTTATAGCTACAGTTTTACTTGCTACATCTAACTTATAAAAATGAGACTATATAAAAATCAGGGCTATATAACTTCAGGAGGGGGTGTGGCTGATTTAAGTCCAAAGTTACTACAAATATAGGCTTGGATGTATAATTTACAGCTTGTCTTTGCATTCTTATGTTTAAATGTGTGGGTTTATATATCGTTGCTGTCCAAAGAAAAACAAGTATCTCCAAAATGGCAACTTTACAGGAGAGGGCAAAAACGTTCTTTACTTTCAATGTAAGTTAATGTGAAGAGGTTTTATTAAAAGTGATTTTGGAGCATTTCTATTGGTCCAGTCATCATGAAATTTCAAATAGTACAAAGGGCAACTGGTTTGTTCAAAATAAGAAAAATAAAAATTGACAAAAATGGAGATACATTTTTTTTTCTTTGGACAGCAACGATATATTAGCCCAAAACCTGATCAGCCCACTGCAAATCCTCCTGACTATCCCAATTACCTGCTCTGGCCTGAATTGTGTTATTTGTTATGTTGCATCATGGAGAGTAAGGGAGAAACTCTACAGTGAAACACCAATTTTATGTTCTAACCAGGCTTTAAAATATGAAAAATCTAAAAATCTGCTCATATGTGTGATCATGTATTGCCACCATGAAACATAAGTAACCTGCAATGGCTAAAAGATTTCCCTTGGCCATTTACAAATAACGAAACATGGTTTCAAGCGCACTCTTGTGCCACATTTTCTTTTGTGGTAAAAGTAAGCATACAGCCTCGTTTAAGGTATTTATTTATTTATTTTTCATCATGACCCATTCTACCCACTAGCTAAGTCTTCCCCTATCACAAGATAGTACCAAGCTGAGAAGCTGAAGGCTTCTTCCAAGTCCAAGGAATCCAGTCGCTGCATCAAACTGCTGCTAATGCAATGTCATTGGACAGCTTGGTGTGCTTGGAGGACAGCACTAACTGCCAATTCTGTAACAGTGAGAGCGAGGTTATTTGGGACTCCTGGCCATGGAAAGCTGTGGCATCGCCAGGGATCGAACTCACAATCTCCCTAGGATAGAGCTAACACTGAGATGGTTGTACTGTGGAGCCTCCAGTGTTGTTTAATATATTCAAAACTACATTTGGCTCACAATTTTTTAATCTCCTTTTTTTTAATTTTCTCTTCAGTTAAATGAAGAGCTGTTCATTTACTGTTAAAGATACTCGAATATAAAAATGAATCAGAGTGCACATCCCTTATTTCCGTGTTTGTGTCTGTGTGAATGAGTTTAGGTATGAATGTCTTTGTGAATGCACAGCGTGAATTGTGAGTTCCTGTGTACCTGAAGCCAAATTCCTTGTATATGCAGACATACTTGGCCAATAAAGCCTGATTCTGAATTTTTGGCAGTAGTGCTAATGTTTGCGCTTTCAGCTGCAGGACAGCCTTATATTGCAGCTGTAAGCTCACACACTGTATCTCTCTTCCACAGGTGAACATGCTCATTGGAATAGTGGTCTTCAACAAGCTCATGTCTAGAGATGGAATCTCAGACAAATCCAAAAAGCAGAGAGCAGGGTGAGTAAAGCCAGAAAATACTGTGTCTATGCTTATGGTCTGCTGTAGGGTCCTCATTACCTCCCCCTTCCTCCTTCAGTGTTCATTCCCTCATGGGCTAGAAATATCCAGTCATCCGTGTAGCAAACTATGCTTTACATCACACGTAAATTCACATAAACACGAACACAAACTAGAGGCAGGAGGTATTCCAGTATAACAGTGAATACCAGTATGTAATTGTATGTAATATGTTAAACTTGAAAAACAGTGAACCAATCCAATAAGACCAAAACCAATAACCAATCGTAATTATTGTAACTCTCCAGGGGGTTCGCTTTGAGTGAGGAGTCAACTCACGACCCTTATTTTAGAAGTCGGGAGCGCTACGAGAAAAACCACCCGGCAGACACTAGAGGACAGCCTCAAGTGCAGAGCTACTGAGGGTCGGAAGAAAGGTGAAACTTAGAAAAGAAACCAAAGGGGCTAAGAGCTGGGAAAACAAACTAGACAAAGAATGAATTAAAAAGGGAACAAGGAATGAAAATGGTCACTTGGAGGAATTAAACCGTCAAACACTGCAGTGCTAGTGCGCTGTGCATTCCACTGCTATGCAGCATACCACAAAAGAGGATAATGGTTGTGCTAACTAAAGACTTAAAAGGATGACCTGAACTGAGGGCTCCCCAAAACCGAAACCAGAAAACTTTTTTTTAATCTCACCCTCGCCTCTCCCAAAACACACAGAGTGAGACACATTCAAGAGTTTTTTTTTTAAATACTTACAGTGGAGAACAGTTTGTGAAAAGCAAAGACTCAAAACTCAAGACGGATACCAAGGTTACTGGAGTTAGAGCAATGCGTGTGTGGTGGCGTGAACTCAAGACTGAGTGCTGAGCAGCATGTGAGCACCTTTTAAGTAGGGTGCCCACCGCTGCTACCGCTCAGACCTAATTACTCAGTCCTGGCTCTCCGGCCCCTCCTACCGGCCAGAGGTAGCCTAGCAGGTTGCCTGGACATTACGAATTATAATACCAAACCCAATTATTATTATTATGTTTTTAAAGATTTTTTAAAGCTGTTCGGGTTCATGCTTTCTTGGGGACAGGGCTGTTTGTGTTAACAATAATAATAACAATAATAATAATAATAATAATAATTCTTCTTCTTATTATTATTATTATCTTCAGTATCTCTACTTTCTACCTTCCTCTTAATAAGACTTAATTCTTAAGACTTTTTATCTCCCACCCCTTGACACAAACATACCGACTCAATCAGACACACTCCTGCTCACTGGAGTTATAAAATGACTTAACACAGAGGTGAATAATAACAGCTTCATTAGTGCACCTGCATCTCTATTGATCTGCTTTGCTTGTTTACCTGGAACTAGTTCTCTGAGAGACCCGTCATTAGCTTTCTGTTTCTTTGCTGTGTGGGTGATCTCTGCACGTACACTCACCCCAGTGGGACATCTCATGCAGTAAAAAGCTCTTTTCATCATGGCTGGGTTAGAGAAGATGGAGAGCAGAAGCGTCCTTTTAACACAGTTAATAACGTGAGTGAAAAGACATGGAGTATCAACAAAGTTCAGCATTAGCCTCCTCCTCCTACCTCTCCAGATCATAACATATTCTGTTTTATTTTGTGCAATGGAAACCTTGCTGTCTCCTCTTTGATTAACATAATGATGCTACTAGAACCCTGAATACATTCACAAATATAGATGAGAGCACTATGTTTTTTTAGCCAAACGCTCAGGTCTGCACGTCAAAAAGTGGAGCAGTGCTTTAGTGCGTGATCATTGATCTTGTACTGATAGCAATATGGGTCCAATTATATAGTGCTGCTGTTATAATGCGCTATGCATTCCACTCATAAAAACTGGAGTGGCACTCGTAACAGCAACAAATTACTTCTCCACTGTGGTTTATATGATACTAACACGATGAAATTGCTCTGTAGAGTTCCATAGACGAGTGGGTAGGAGACAATTGGTCTTACGTATTGAATGAGAAGCTAATCAGAGATGTGAGCTAATCTAATGACTGGATATTTCTAATTCTCCCTCCAGACAACAATCCATGTTGCAATTTCCCCCCCAAAATTGATTTCTGTTGTCTTAGTCTCTTGTGCTCTTTTAATGGGAATGTGGGGTTGATGCATTTTGGAAGCTACAATGACTGACTGGGTATTATCTTAGCCAGCACCTTGTATACAGAGTTTTGCTTTAGCGGCCAGTTGCCACACATGCAAACACACACAAATACACAGCAGGGCTCTACGATGTATATACAAAATACCAAGTTGTGATTATATTGCTGCATATTGTGGTTGGAATACGCTTTGCAATATGCTAAAGCACACTGGAGAGCCCTCAGTGTGAGCTGATTAAAGATGATTGTATTTGGACCAGAATTATTTACCTTGTAAATGAAGATGTTTTAAATTAGGGGTGCTGAAATTTTAATCTGTGAACACTTGTATGCAAAGGTTTGAGCATCCTTTCTCAAACTCCATGTTTTGTTGATTTTCTAAGAGAAACTAAGTTGACCCTCTGTCGTCTAAGGGCATCTTCTCAATTTTTGCATGTCTTCTTAAATTTGGCACTTGCGTATAACATGATATCCATATATTTCATATCAAAATGCTCTCTTCGTCGCTACTTTCCAAAACCGCTGCAGCAACTTCAGAGGCTGTAAACATTTTGCACCCCATTTCAGATGTATCTCCGATGAAGCATATCTGACATGATGGGTGAGTCCTTCAAGATTTCCTGGGTGTCCATTAGTCATGTTTACACAAAGTGTTGATGGACACACGAATCCACCAATTACACATAGTGAGAGACAGGTGATGTGTATCTGTACCCCTCTTCATAGTCTCTCCTCATAAGTCTCATTTTGGATGTGAGTCACGTATGATTTTGCAATAAGATTTTGCAAATCAAAAGGGCTCCTCTGCAGATTCAGGAAATGTTGGAACTGTATTGCTGCACTGTATTATGGCAAAGATAGAGAAACATATACAGAAACAACGATGCACAGGCATAGACTCTAGAAGGTTAAGGCACAACTAATGTTTATTTGCTAAATTTAACATATTGGAAAAACATTAAATGGGTGCCTGTGTAAAAGCAAATAGGTTTTTTCTTCATTTTTTCCTATATGTAAAACTGAACAAATAAAGAGAAACTGTGCAGTAAACTTTACAGAAAGTGCCATATTTACCTTTCTTTCCTGTAGAGAATGTTTTAACATATTTTCACTTAGAAAATCAACAAAGCAACAATTTGACCAGTGGCAACTTTTGCATATGACTGTATGTTGCAGAAACATTGACATCATGCATAATGATAAATAAACTTTTTTTTTTTCATTTAAATTTTTGGGATAAGTTACAATAAACAGAACATGCTCCAAAGCGGCTAAAGACGACAGTATATGACAACACATATATCTGGCACGTCAAACCTTTGATCAAACCCTGCTTTTCTCTCTCATACTGGATGAAATTTTGCAAATGAGCTGCGGACAATCAGGGCTTCCCAGAGTTTCCCAAAATCATCTTAGCACAAAGATGATTCTTACATAGTAGAGAATCACACCTAACACTCACTCTACCATGCTTTTGGAGAACTGGGCCAGACGGTTGGTAACCAGTTCTGTCATGTGCTAAAATCCGATACTCGGAATGCCCCCTGATTGGGAGATATAATGGTTGAAAAAACAATTAATGTTTTCAAGATGTGTGACATTATTACTGTGAAGCACAGTGGAGGGGAAGCATCCAGGTCTGGAGCTGTTTTTCTTACAGTGGCTACATTTACATGCAAAGATTTTAGCCAATCCGATTGAATACATTCCAAGTGAAGATTAAGACTGAGGTGTTTATATGCTCACTCTACTAAACAGTCTGATGGAAAACCTCAGTTTACATGCTCACTACAAGTAATCTGATCCAAAATTATGCGCACGTGTAGAGAACCACTTAGTGTAGATGTTACCATGACAACGAGCATCACAGTCCAGTCAGAGTGAGACGGGCAGCATTAAGCTGTGTTTGTGTTTTAATTGCTTTAAAATGATCTCAGACTCAGGAAAACCTACTTCACGTGTACTTATTAAAGAAGGGCGAGAGGAAGACGTCGTGTTCTGAGACACATAAGATGGACGTCCGTCCCACTGCCGTCTTTTAAAGCTCAAAGCATAAACTTCGTCTTCTCTGCAGACCAGTTTCTGCTCCTGCCATGCTGAACGTTATAAACTTTCACTATGACACGACGTACATGCAGAACGTACTTAAACTTTCTGATTGGGAATGTAATCGGATACAGACATTTACATGGTTATTATTCTATTTAATGGATTATTCACAGGATTACCCACCTCATTCAGTTGGATAGAACTTGTATTCTGAATGGCGTCAACCGGACTAGTCTATTCTGATTGAGGTGTATACATGGACATATTCTATTCCGATTGGGATTATTAACGGATTATTAGGCTGCATGTAAACATGGCTAACAAACGACATCATACAAATGACATTTTGGACGTAAACCTGTAGAAATCTGCAAAGAAACTGCTCAAAGGATAGTGATCTGAAACACACATGCTCTTTACAAGAATACTTTACCTAAAAGAAACTGACATGATTAGCAACACTAACTAACTAACAAACACTAACTAACACAAGAAACTTAATACATTTTTAAGTATGGCACAAAAGTCCAAATACTTTTTGCAGCCACTGTACATACATAGGCACAGGAGCACACAGACTGTACTGACATGCTTATTCAATGAAGAAAAAAAGGCATACATTCCCTAATAGTCTACCTTGCACCAGCATGAATTGTAAACGAGTAGTTTGTTTGCTCCTCTGTGGGGCTACAGCATAACCTCACTTTCCAGCCGTCACTCAGCCAGACCGTCTCCCTGCGGAATTACTCGACATTGCAGATGGACGATGCAGGACTAGTTAGTGTGTTCGTTGCAGTGTTTCGGGGAATTTGACTCCACCAAATGTGTGTAAATAATGAATTATTTGAGAGAAACTCCGGAAAACTTGCTTCTTTTACATCGTCTCATTCCTCGTCCTCATTTAGGTCGCCGGAACCCGGCAAAGTCCAGACTAGGACTCCATTTGCAAAATGGGTGATTCTGGCGGGTTCATTAAACACTGAAATCCATGACTAATGACCTGAGAGAGAGTCTGACCAGGATGACCTCACAGCACTTTCACTATCAGCACACACACACACACAGAGTAGGGTGGATAGAGAGGAGGTTTGAGTTTATCTTGGTGATCATCTCCTTCAAGTCATTACTCACAGAGTCCAGGCAGCCAGATATGTGGCTTATTGCAACATAAACACATACAGTACTGTGCAAAAAGTCAGACCACTTTTTCATTTAATTTCTGTTTAATACTAACATCAACTACAAGTTATTTTTAGCCGCAAGAAAAAAGGCAGAAAGCTGCTACGGCTAAATATAATATTAATTTTCCAGTATTTATACCTTTATTACAGCTTCCTTTCATTTTAGCTGACTTGCTTTCAGTTTTTCAAATAAATCTGCTGGGATATTTTTCCACACCTCCAAAGTTCAGTCTTAGAAGTTGGTTACATTTTCTGCTTTTCACAATGCAAGTAATCCTGAACACATTCAATAATGTTGATGTCTGGACTCTGGGGTGGTCAGACTGTTGTTAAAAAATAATTTCTGTTCAATGTTAAAAATGAATAACTTCAAATGAATTGGGGTCTCTCACTTTAGCACAGTTCTGTATAGAGATGCACCATCAGAATTGGGCGATTTGGGCTCCAAACATGCAATCAGTAATTTTTCAATGTATTACTTTTAATTTTGACTGCTGTGTTGCATATCACTGCGGTTGAAACAAAACCTTGTAACTCCATTTTTGCCATTTTTCAGTTTTTGACATAGTGTAAAAATGCCTGTTGCCCTTTACATTGTGTGCAAATTCCTTAATGAACTGACCAAAGGAAATGGCCCAAAAACACTTTATGGGCCTGTTTGGTTCCATTGACATACATTAAAAATAAAGTAGGTGTTTTCCTTCTCCTGTAAAGTTATCATTTTGGAGATGTGATCTCCATTTTTGTCGTTTTTCAATTTTTGACAGAATTTGAAAATGCCTGTTGCTCTTTATATTGTGTATACATTTCATAAAGAATGGACTAAAAGGAAACAGCCCAAAAATGACTTGGAAAAATGTCTGGTTCCATTGACTTACATTAAAAGTAAAGTAGGTTTTTTTCTTCTTCTGTAAAGTTACCATTTTGGAGATACAAGGTTTTCTTCTGACAACAGCGAAATGTTGTTTTGATTTAAATACATGAACAAGTAGACAAACACACAAACCAACAATACAGATAACCTCACAGATAACCAAAGTGGTTGGTCCTTGCAGCTCTCACATGCTTCACATATTAATAATGAGTTGTAGTCCAGATCTGCTCTCTGGGCTGGGTTTTCCCCTATTGTACCTCTATCCCTGTCTCTGTACTCCTCTACCTCATCCTCTCTATTAGATGTATGTTTACACTGTGCCACTACCATACGCATTAATGAGCTGTCATATATTGTCTATGCTACTGCTATTGTCCATTACAGCTACGGTACTTTATCATTGCTTTAATTTCTTTCTTTCTTTCTTTTTTCCTTTCTTTTTTTGTTTTACGATGTGTCATTCCCTCTCCTTGTGTCTTTTTGTCTTCGTGCTGTATTTTTTCCCCCACCTGAACTCGTCCCTTTTACTTTGTGTGTGTATGTATTGGCATGCCTTATATGGTGTGAGTGGTCTGTATGAACCCACTCTTTTCCATCTATATGGTCCTGTCATCATGTGTGTCCGTGTCCACAACCCCACCCCCTTCCCCCACCCCTTTGTGCTCCATGTGTGCGTGTGTGTGTGTGGTGTGTGTGTGTGCTGGGTCCTGAAGTCCACCGCTGGAGGCTCGTAGCAGACTGCTCCTCAAATGCTCCAAGTGTGGGGTCATCTCCAGCACCGCTATGTCCAGCTCCACCGCCAGCAGCGCCATGTTAGTCTCATTCCACTCTTTCTCTCTTTCTCTCTCCCTCTATCTCTCTCTCTCTCTCTCTCTCTCATTGTCTGTCTTTCTTTCCACTCTCTTTCTCTTTCTCATTGTCTACTCTTGTTGTCTGCCTCTCTCTCTTTCTCTCTCTGTATCACTCTATCACACAGGCTCTCTCTTTCTCTTTCCTTCATCTCTCTCTTCCTCACCTTCTCCTTTTCTTTCTTTCATTCTTCCTTTCTTTCATTCTTCTTTCTTTCATTCTTCTTTCAGCTATACTAACACTGCTGACAGTAAGAAACTAGAAATCTTCAAAGAGCTGCTCTCTCTCTCTCCCACATACACACACACTCACTCTACTTCTCTCTCACACACACAAACACACACACACACATGGTCTGAGATGTCCGTTCTTTGAAGAGATAAAGAACCAGAGAGTGGGTGGAAGGTCACCTCTTGTTCTTTTGGGATTTTGAGAAAATTGGACTAATCTGTGGCTGTTTTTTTGCCAGCAGAGTCGTGTTATTGAAATAATAATGGAATTACGGATATCTTTCCTCCATCATCTCCGTCTCTTTCTGTCATCTTCTTAATCATGTCTTCATCGTTTGAATCAAAATGTGTGTGTGAGTTGTTGTGTGTGTGGTTTCTTCATCTCTAACAATCCGATGTGGACTATTTAGCTTACATTTCCATACGTCTGTCTATCTGTCTGTCCGTCTCTCTATCTGTCTGTCTATTGTTTCGTTCTCTCTTTCTCTCTCTGTCATTCTCTCTCTCTTTTCACTTTCATTGGTAATGAACTGAAAGTGGGTTGTCTGTCCCCTGTCAGTTAAGCCCATTTACACTCAGGATATGGACTCAGTGCAGCGTGAACACACTAAATTGGTGTCAGACACCATGGCTAACCAGCATGAACCCAGTCCCGCAACCCTCCCCCCACTCTACCCCCAACTTCCACTGAGACAAACTGAGTGGATTTCTGTCCGACAGCCCTTACTGATGACGGACATTTACCTGAGCATGTTCCACGTCAAACTGAGGCAGAAATTAAGTATTGCATACTTAATTACTTAATACCAGGGATGTCTAATTGCCCTGCCTGTGCTCTGCCCACAAATGAGCTCTTACGGGTTGGACAAGCTTTACAGAACATGGGCAGAACTCTCATTTGACCTAATGAGAAATTGTAGAACACATCTTCGTTGTTGTTACAATATTTTGATTAGCTATTGCAACAGCAATTTTAAACTGGAAACAAGAGATGCCTGAAGGAGAGCGCATGTGTCTACAGTGGTGCTTAAAAGTTTGAATTGTCTATATTTCTGCATGACATTGACCTAAAACTGAAAAGTGAAGTCCTAATAGTAGACAAAAAGAACCAATTTAAACAAATGAGACAAAAATATTAGACTTGGTCACTTATTTATTGAGCAAAATGATCCAATATTATGTATCTGTGAGTGTCAAATGTATGTGAACCTTTGCTTTCAGTATCTGGTGTGACTCCTATGTGCAGCAATAACTGCAATGAAATGTTGCCAGTACGTGTTGATTAGTCCTGCACATCAGCTTGGTGGAATTTTAGTCCATTTCTCTGTACAAAACAGCTTCAACTCTGTTATGTTGGTGGGTTTCCTCCCATGAACTGCTTGCTTCAGGTCCTTCATCAACATTTCTGTAGGATTAAGGTCAGGACTTTGACTTGGCCATTCCAAAACATTCACTTTATTCTTCTTTAACCATTCTTTGGCAAAATGACTTGTGTGTTTAGGGTTGTTTTCTTGCTGCATGACCCAGGTTCTCTTGAGAAATCTCCTTTGTTCGTGCCATGATACACTTCCACAAACACATGTTGTGAAAACCAGACTGTGACTTCTTTAAATCAAACAGGCTGGTCACTCACATCTAATTGCCATCCAATTGACTGAAAACATCTAATTTTACCTTTGAATTAGGACTGCAGACATTAGTTAGGTCTTGGGGTCAGAATGTCTCTAAAAACTACACTTATATAAACCACATTGTTTACGCCACCTATATAACCACATTGTTTGAGAGGGTTGCCCGAAGTAAGCCTCTGCTGTCAAGTACCAACAAACTCGGATGCCTACAGTTTGCAAGACGTTACTGGAACTAGCAGTGACACCATGTTCTACTCTTAAATGAGACCAAAATAGAGGTTTTTGGCAACAAACACCAGAGGTGAGTTAGGGGTAGACATAAAGATAGCCATGCAGAGAAGTATCTCATCCCCCCTGTGCAGTATGATGGAAGATCTGATACACTGTGTGGCTGTTTTTCTTCTAAAGGCCCTGGGCAACTTATTCGCAAAACCTGACCGGGTCAGCCAGGAAGCTTAAACTGGGTCGTGGTCGGATTTTTCAGCAAGACAGTGATCCAAAGCACACCTCAAAATCCACACAAACATGGTTCACTGACCACAAAATCAAGGCTGTGCCTTGGCCATCTCAGTCCTATGCCCTTAACCCCACAGAAAATCTGTGGGATGACCTAAAGAAGACCTCAGCTGTGTTAACCCTCCATGCAGTATGTGAAGAGAATCTGAGAATCTGTACTGAGGAATGGTCTCAGTTCCATCACCATGTGTTCTCCAGTCTCATTAAGCATTATAGGAGAAGACTCAGAGCTGTTATCTTTGCAGAAAGTAGCTGCACAAGGGAGTAAGTGAAGGGGTATTATTTTTATTTTTTAATATTTAGAAGTCACAGATTTCTTGGTAAGATTTAGTTTTATTCTTTAAATCATTGTACTTCAAATAAAGCTTAGATTTTTGTTAATATTTTGGGTAACACTTTACTGTAGGGTTCAGTTCATAAGGCTACATGACACCTATATAAGTTTGGCATGACAACTGACATAACCCTACACAAATGTTTATAAATACTTATTCCAAAACGCATCATCTGTCACGAAGGCTACTTTAGAAAACTTTGATCAAAATTGGCAGATGTAACCTTCATAGCAAATTACACCTACTGGGATAAGCATTTATAAACATTTATGTAGGGTTATGTCAGTTGACATGACAAGCTTATGCAGCTGTCATATAGCCTTATGAACAGAACCCTACACTAAAGTGTTGCCATATTTTGAGGGCTTTATAATTTGAATGAAAGATCAAAAGGATCAGCATAAAGAATATTTTTCTAACCTGTTTTGCTCATGTTTATCAGGGGTGCCAACACATTAATAAGATGTAGAATTTAGGACGCCATCGACCTGGATTAGCCTTATCGAGAGGAGTGAAATTTACTTCTGCAGGGTTACAAATGCAATGAAATGAATAAAATGTATAAATTTTAGCACCATACAGTAAATAGATCAAAGAACAGTTTGAAATATTAGTGTGAAAAATCTTAACATCTACCTGATACTGATCTTTTTTTTTATTTATTTATTTATTTTATTTTTTTTTGGCAGTTGTCTGCTGATACTGATACTTTGATATCATTGTGCATCTCTAATGGAAACTCAATGTTATATTGTGACTCCAAACAAAATAACTGCCATTTCTCATGAGGTCATTTGTGTTCTGTAAAGCTTGTCCAGACTACACTCTCAAAGCATATGGTGCCACTAAGGGTTCTTTTCCTGATGCCGTAGAACAGGGGTGTTTAATTAAAATTTAATAAGGTCCAGTTAGAGAAAATTTCCTCAAGCAAAGGTCTGGAACATCATAGTGTCTAACTTGCATTATGATTCAGTGCCATATACTATACACTGAAGTAGCCTAGTAGGTATATCAACATCTTAAACAGTCAACAACTGAATGTCAAATCAAATAAAGTGAAATTTAGTAATATTTCAACAACATTTATTGTCAGTTTTCTCTTTTAGAGCACGGCATGTGAAATAACTTCCCTTTGACTCACTTTCTTCTCCGACTGCTGTTTCTTGCCTTGTCCCTCCCGTGTGTGCGTCACTCACTCATGTCTCAGCGCTCATCGTAATGCACAGATCTGATTGACTGAGTAATGTCACATGTGATATTTACAATGCATGCGATTGGTCTGAGAGTTTCCCGGGCCCCTAAAGCGGTACCGTAAAGGCTAGATTAAAATAAGACCACCCGGTCGAAATTAAATAATTCTCCATAGTTTACTGGTTATAGGTCCAGGTCCGCATAGGACAGCGTCTGGGTCCGCACTCGGACCGCGGTCCACCTATTAGTGACCTCTGCCATAGAAGCACCATATTTGTTCCTTAATTAACCTATTTTGGCACCTTTATTTTTAAGAGTGCTCTAACACACCAACTGGTAACTGATAACTAAGTGCTGATTCAGAGTTGAATCAGGTGTGTTTGAGCAGGAAATCACCAAACTGTGTTGGACACTCGCCATCCAGGCCCGTAGCTGGGTTCCTGTGCTATACACAGAGCAACAGATAATGGGGAAGTTAAACTGAATGTTAATCCAGTGCTCTAGTCAGATTTTGCAGACCACTAACTTTATATTGTTAACTTTAAATATCCCTATGAATGAGTGTTTGTGAAGATCAATAAATTGTGTAAAGGAGCAAAAAGAAAGACAGTTGTGCTTCGTGTTTATGTGAGTGAGTGATGTGTGTGCTTAGTTTTTGTGTTTTTGTGAACATTCACTTCACCAGTCATCACCTCCCAAACCAGTGCTGAATGCTGACGAATATTTGGAGCTAAAATTAGACTGTATCTATTACTGCAGGGGTGTAAATCTGTACCCTCCCACTGATTCAGTTCACTTATGAGTCATTATGAAATGATTCAGTGCATCATGAAATCTCAGATTTCACTATGTGTCATTTTTATTGGATTATTTTTGTATGAGTTAGAATTATTTTTAAAAATACTGAATATACAAACTATTTACATCTAATTCCTCCAAACATAGAAAATAGAAACATTTGCAAAATTTTATATATGAAAATATATAAAATGGCGCATACTTTATTGCATTTTATTATAATCAGTTAATCAATGTAATATTCCATAATCAGTCACAATACTCTGATTCATTTTTACACCCCTCTCTTTTAAACAGTTCCAGACTAATAGTACTTTGCTATGTGCTGATGTGTGGTGAATGAATATGTAGGTGGTCATGCTGTGTGCTGTGTGTATACAGGGCGTCATTATGGAGCTCGTGTGTGGTGCTCCCCCTGCTGGCGCTCACGTGGATGTCGGCAGTGTTAGCCATCACGGACCGCCGCTCCACTCTCTTCCAGGTGCTCTTTGCTGTCTTCGACTCTGTCCAAGGCTTCGTCATCATCACTGTCCACTGTGCCATGCGCCGAGAGGTCAGTGAGCGTCTTTTGTTATAAATCAGAAACTATATAAGCATAATCACACTGCCATGTTGGTGTGGATGATAAGGAGCTCAAGATAAGCTAAGTAATAATTTATGTCATAGTAGGTAGTTAGATGTGGGATATTAGTGGTCAAACTGTCTCTAGTATCAGATCTCAGAGGTTTGGGTTAGATAAGGATGAGAAGAGATGAAAATGTGTTATAATTTAATGTCTTAAATTTATAACATACGTAAAGACCACTGATGAGATTAATTTTGTGAAACACTGCCAGGATCTTCATAAATCACCTATCCCAGATCATATGCTGTCCGTTATGACTCATAATTTGAGATTTAACTTGTCCACTAATTCAAAACTCCAGGCTTTTTACTCTTTGATTATTATATTATGAGACCTGTCATCCTTGAATCTGTGTGTGGAAGCTGTGATTTGGGCCATAAATGGGCTTTTCTTATTAATTATAACCATTGAGAGTTCATTGAGGGCAGATTTGCTGTGGTCGTTTGTGGTCATATGTAGGCTTTTACATATCTGTAACTGGAGCTAATCCTTAAGAAGTGTATTTAGCAGTGAGGATCTAAGCCTACCACTGTAATCCTCTTGTCAGACAGTACTTATTATTTTTATAATTCAGCCGTAGATTTTAAAAAATGAACTACAGAGGACACAAAAACAGTCTACTTAATTCATTAAACCTTAAGGGTGCATATGTGAGTAAACACTTCAATTCCCAAGTTTCAGACAGAAGATCAGTGAAGTACACCTCTCTAAATATCTCCCTGTTTGTCTGTCTGTTATATGCAAAAGTTTGAGTGCCTATCTGATTTCTCAAAGAGATGTTTCAACATTAATAACTGTGTAATAAGTCTGGCGTTTAAGGGTTTACATTGATTGATGTGGCTTATGGATAATTCTACTGTAGTAAAGTGTACCAAACTCTAACAAATGATCCTGTGTATAAATCCATTGTGGCTGGTTTGGAAGCTAAAAATTTGTGTAATATCTCAAATAAAGACCTTCAGTTAACTTTCCCACTCAACCAAAAAAACCCAGTGAAAAGTTAAAAAAGCAATAAATATTCTTAACTTGGGTTTTTCTTTTGAAGATTTTGAGTTATTCGCTTTAGATTTCTGTGATCAAAATGATTCTTACTTTCTTTAGCACTCCAGCTGTGTCTGTCTGAACTGGACCTTATAAGTTATTTATTTGGCAGATGGGAAACAGCATATATGCGAGAAGTGCTGCATAGAACCACTGTTAAAAGAGTTCTTTAAAGAACGGTATATAAGTGGTTTTCCATCATAGAGAAGAGCCATTTGACCATGCATATAACTATTCATACATTCAGGAGTTCTTGTTTCTATATAGAATCATTGCTTTTACTAAAGAACACTTGAAGACCCATTTTTATAAGTGTACACAAGCCCTCTTTTAACCTTGTTTGTCAGGCCTACAGAATAAGCCAGATAAGTCTTAGGAAGGAAGGAAAGAAAGAAAGAAGGAAAGACAGACAAACAATAAAAATGACCTTGTGTAGTCTCTTTCTGCAGGCCTCCTCGTGGGCATTCCGCCAGCAGAATAGAAATCAATTTAGATTTTTTTTTTTTTATTAATATAATCAGGTAAAATCGCGTCTTATGGCTACTGTGAGAAAGGTTAATGGTGGCATCTTCCTCCTTCACTTTGACATCTGTGAGGGTATCCTGTATATTTGTTCTGTGTATCGATATTTATCAGGCTGCATGATGAGCTGCACTAAGATGCCCTGCTTACTAGTGCTTCAATAACTTCAGCCCTCCTGTCTCCTGTCAGTTCCAGCATAAAGATTTCACATACCTAGATGCTAAAATTCAGACATCACATGAGATGAGGAAGAGAACTCTCTGCAGAGAGTTTGCGGAGATGATTATGTTGGTCCCTGCATGGCAGAATATCATTTTAGGAAATAATCATTTTAGGAAATTGATTATTGATGTTGTTTCCCACTGTGAAATTTCTTCTTCGAGTCAGTTTACGTTTGTCACACTGATGCGAGGTGTAATACCACTTTTTTTTTTTCCTTTCAGAAGGCTAGGACTCTTTTACTGCCCTGTTGCGGCTCCACAGCAGAAATAGATTTTTATGTAAAAATAAAATAATCCACCTTTACAGTAAAATAAATCTCTGCTGATCGTTCAACGCAGTTTTAACAATAAATGGTCTTAAATGCTGGAGTTAATGTATAACTACTAATTCACCAATTTCAACCCTGAAGGTTGGTGAGCAGACTGTCACCATAGCAACGCAGATAACAATCTTGCCTAGCTAGTAGCTAACAAAAAAGCAAAGAGAAAGATTTAAGAAGAACATCAATAAGGACTCATTTGCATTTATAAACACTCCAGCTGGTTTCCTGATACGTTTAACCTGCAACAAGAAACTGTCAAACACCAAAAACCTGCAAAGCTGAAATCAGCTTCTCGTTCACCAGCCTCTTGTTCGAATTTTCTTGTTCCACCTTAAATGGTGCAGCAGTTAAGGTGGAATAGGAAAATTAGAACAAGAAGCTGGTGAATGAGAAGCTGACTTCAGCCTTGTAAAACGTCGAACATTGAGAGACATTTTACAAGAACCTATTCCAGTTTTGCGGAAAAGTTTTCTGCTGGAGATGCAAGAAAAACGGCTATAGCTGAGCTAAAGCTTAAAGCAGAGCAAAGATTTTTGTTTAGATTACATTTTTTAGCCTATACTAACAAACTAGCACATACTGAGACATATTTACAGCAAGATGGTAACATGGACATAAAATGTTATGGCTTCCAAAGTGGTTTCATTTTTGTTGAAAGGACAAAATGGCTCTTCTTAGCATTTGTGTTGCCAACCTCTGACTAAGTGTATTCATAAGCCCAGTGCAACCCAACTGAAGCTGTTAACAGTTAACACATACTCAAAAAGTCAGAAGCTTTTCAAATACTGTGGCTCTAAGAGTAAAGCATTCAGCACGCATGAAACCCGTGATCTGCTGTTAATGAGTACATGCATTTGCAGTCTAATTAGGTGATGTGTGAATGCTTGGTTTTCAGAGAAACTGAAAGTAATGGAATATCAGCAGCATTTTTAAATGTCCATGGAGCACATTGTAGCTCAGCTTAACCACAGAGGGATTATGAGGATTGGTGAATAATAATAATTGATTCAGATAGCGGCGGCTTCCCTTCATGGTTTTCCCCACATGCCACCGTCAGTGTGGCCTTACTCACAATGCACCAGCCTTTGATCCAATTCCCTAGCACGTGCTAAATTGAATTTCACATATCGGGCAAATCACAAAATACAGATTTAGTTGCGACGGGAAATAGAAGTGCTAAGTTGCGAGGCCTTATATGTTAAATCAATATCAAAAACTGGGGGATTAGAATAAAATAAATCCTGGAATTATTTTAGTAAATATATGAAAATCCCTCCCAAGGATTTGATGTAATCCCTAATAGCTTTAGCATAACAAGAGAACGGAGCGCAGCCTAGCAAGTGCTGCAGAATCACACACGGCCCACCCGGTTTGATGTGTGAATTACACACAGTTAAGTGGCAGAGTCAACAAAGGAGAGGAAGCGATGGCAATTAGCACTGAGGATGACAGAGAGAGGTTGTGAAATGGTGCAGTTTGGAGAGTTAGACAGAGAGACAGAGAGAGATACACTTTAAAACATGCTGTTGAGTATTCATCCTACAAGCTCAGAGCTCTGACTCAATAGGCAGTCAGTCATACCAAATGTTAGAGCTGAATCAGAGAATGAGACCGCCTTTCTGTGGCTGTGTAGGCTAGTGTTTCCTTCACATACTAATCTGCGCTGTGTGTGTGTGTGTCTGTGTGTGGTTTTTGGGCTATAAATTTCTGTCAGTGTTGCAGTCAGTGAATAGCACTGCTGCATCACAACCCATGCTAAATTAAGTGTGAAAGAACAGATTTCATAAAGGCTGGAGAGTGGATGTACATTCACTGTATAATTAAATGTATTTAGACTATGTGAAGGAGGGTGTTCACTGCTAAAAATGTGACATCTTGGCAAATTAAGCCATCTTAGTGGGGAATTCCACCTTTTTTTTTCAAGAGTTCTGCATAATTCAATCGTTATAATTTCAACAAAGTCATTCAGAGTGCTTTGATGTGAAATGCTCTGTTCTAGAGAAACTTATAGAGTCAGAATTGTTCACAGTGGTGGTGATAGGAACCAGACTGGCAATTTTAGATAGTAAGTAAAATGATTATATTTGTGTTGTAGACATCACGACCCTTGAGTCGTATAACCACCGTAGCAAAAAAATCTCAACAACTGAATTACACAGAAATTTTGCAAAATCAGTGGAATTCCACTTTAAATCTAGTCGATATATCTAGTATTTCTCATTATGAATTTGTTGTAAGATTATTTAAGATCATGGAGCTTATTTTTAGTTGTTGTAAATAATTTTATCTGGTGAAATGATCTTCAATTGCTAGAAAAATTGTGTCACTTTATTTGGATAGTCCCCCAGTATATGATCTATAGATGTTCAAATTATAATGATCTGTCTTGTGAAAAGTCAGTTGATTCTCAGCAGTGTTGGGGTGAGGCTTAGGACCTTTGTGAGGGTTAGGTATAGGTTTTAGGTTGAGGTTAAAGTTAGGGTTAAGGAAAATAAGATGAATTTAATAGATAATCAGCTTAATGTAAGTTAAATGCAGGAGAAGCATCTATGAAGCTTCTACAGTGAGCTATTCAAATAAAGTGTTACCAAAAATTGTGCTTGTTTCAGAAATGACATTGATCATTTCAATGATATTTCAATGGCAATCTCATAATGAGAAATATTCAATGTGTCAACTCAAAAAGATGCTTTTACTTGTGAAGATGCCATTTTTTAAATTGTAATGAAAAAAGTGGCTGCATTCAAAGCCATGTACCAATATGCTGTTCACTCTCTTTAATAATGGTTCTTCAAAGGTTCTTCACTGAAAGCAATGGTTATATATAGAACTGTAAACATGCAAAGAACTATTTGAATGCATGAATAATTCTTTGTATGGTTAAATGGCTAGTTCAAACTATGGTCCCAGAGTAAGAAAAAAACAAAAAACTTCATTTAAAAAATGAAACCTTTTACAAGGTTTTACACAGATTTTACAAGGATCAATCCAAGGATCATCCATTAGGGTACTTTCTATTTGAAGGAGGCTGTCCCAAACCCTAAACCCTCAACTATCAACTTTTTTAATACTTATTTTCATGAGTTTAATTTTTGAATAAAAAAAAAAAAACTTTTCAAAAAACACTTTCTTTTACTTTCTTGTGTTCATTACCGAAACACAGTTTTAGTCTTATTTTAGCCACACCCGTGCGTTTTAGAGCAGGAAGTGGGACTGCATCCCTGTCCCTCATGGCCACATGGTGAGCAGTTAGATCCCATTGTTCTGAAGTAAATGTATGCTAAAGTCTGAAAATCAGTGTGAATTAAGAATTGCCACTATTTCTGCAATTAATGTATTAATGTATGTTATGATTTTATGTGTGTACAATCGTTCAAAGCTTTGTTTGCTAGACTTTTTCTGGCTAGCATTTTTGAGTTCTGCTCAAACTGATCTAAAATTGTCATTAATGAAACAGTCACTACTGAAATGTGTTTTGAACTCCCAATTCATTAGGATGAGCCATATGATTTTATAAAGAATCTTTTTAAATGGTTCTATATAGCACCAACGTTCCAGCTGTTGTTCTGCTATGGGTTCTGGTACCTTTTTAGTTGCTGAACCGAACCTGTTTTGATAAGACCATACTAAATTAATGCACTTACAGTGGCATACTATTTCTGACGTGCTATTTATTATGGTATTATGAAGCTTTGGACGCAGCCATTATAAGCTATCGCCAGTTTAAAGCAGGATGAGGCTTATTAGTTACTCCACTGGCATTTTGCTTTATTATCCTTTAAGTGTTTCCGTGTCCAGTCAGCTTCCAATGGCTCTGTCGTTTATTTATCTTGGGCAGGAAAAAGACATTTTGTCACTGTGCACAGACCACAGAAACAGATTTTTATGGAAGAGGCCCAAAATCTTCATGCAAATAAATGGCAACCTGTTACTAGGGTTACGCCATCGTCACTGGATACCACTTGTTGTTAGCTCCGGCGGGGGGGGGGGCGTGTCCTTAGTTCTCTCATTATGTAAGATCTTAAGGGACGTGTAAACACTGACTATGTGAATTGTTTGCCACTCAGGAATATAAACTCATATCAGAGTTTTATTAGAAATCTCATCTGCTTGCCCTCCCTCCATTGCTACACTAACTAGATTAAAGTGATAGATTCTCCCGGGTAAGACAAGCCTGCCTCCATCTTAAAGATACTTATGATTATTATTATCTCTGTGTTAGCAATCAGCAGGGCTGTGGAAAGCATTGTTTATGCTTTTCTGTCTGCTGGTTATTTCCCTCTGTTTATTTGAGAGCTCCAGTAGCAGAATGTTCTGTTGCAATGTCCTGGTGGACCTATAACAAGGACAGACTGAAATGAATACAGGGTGTAATAAACAATGGATAATGAAAATATTCTGATCAGACGTAATTAGCAGATAGTGCCTGGAGAATAGAAAAGGGTGGGTGTCTTGCTCGGAGTACACAAGAAGCAATTATGCTCATGTATCGGCGAGAAAGGCAGTGTAATATTTTACTCCCCCTACTATTTAGGCTTTGTCCTTCTCTGTTTTTCGGATGTAGTGTGATTAAATAAAAGTAGTTTAATTGGAAAGACATTGTGTTCTGCCTGTTTCTGTGTGAAGTCTTGTTAAGACCTAAAAAACCCACCCTGCTCTATTGTGCTGACTAGTGTTTGGCAGTCTGCTTAATTCTGTGTACAGTCATGGACATGCTGAGAACTGTTGTAACGTCGTAGCCAGCTAAATCACTCTGGGCAAAAAAGTTGTTCCTTTGTTATTTATCCTCTTGCAATATTTCGTATAAAGAATTGTTGAAATACACACTATATTTCTTCTAATTAGCGAATTCCCACATTAGGCACATTGAGTTTGTACAAACAAACTTGGCTGAGGGAAGCTCTGGATCAGCCAAACATTAGCTTAATGTCAAGCGTCTAGGTATAAAGCCCCTTAGCACTGGGCTGTGGAGCTGTGTTCTCTGGAGTGATAGAGCTCTGTGGTCCAGAACTAACCATCCCACATCAGTACCTGAACTCAGTAATGCTCTTGAGGCTGAATCTAATCAAATCCTTACAGCAATGTTCCAATATCTGGGGTGAAGACTTCCCAGAAGAGTAGAGGCTGTTACTGTAGCAAAGAGGAATAAACTTACTATTAATATCCTTGATTTCAAAAGAAATTTTGGACGATCTAGTGTCTACAAACTTTGGGACATATAGTGTCTTGTTTATTTCCCGGAAAACGTTAACACTTTCTTTTACAATGCCTTAAGTTCTAAGTATCAATCAGGTAAGTGTGAGGTGCAAACTTTAAAGTACTAGGTAATTTTTTTTGGGAAACTTGATTATAGGATCCAAGATAGTTTAACTAAATGACACTGAATTGTCAAACACATCCTAGATATTATTTATGTTTTGGGGACCCAGTAAAACCACAGTAAGAATCCTTGCCTTCTTTTAGAGCCCAGATTCAGATTTGTTTGTAGGTAATAAACATATACACTGCGTTAGACTCGTTTGTACTTTATTCCTGTACTGTCTTTTTAAATCATAAATAGACCAAGTACTTTTTACCCAGAATAATTACACAGTACTGTAGAATTTGTACCACACACATGCTCAGTTAATGTATCAATCCCGTTGGGCATTTCAGTGTAATATAGTTGGACTGCCTTGGACAATTTTTAAGTATGTTATCCAAAATAATTACCTGTCCCTCACACTTACCCATGGGTGGTTTTAAAGGAGTGATCGGCATGGCCAGGGCCTCTCTGAAATCTGATTGACCACCCCTACATGCCACCCCAGAATTTCTGCCATGTCATTAGCTTCCACCTTGCTATGGGACGGGGGTTTGCGGCTTTAAGAGGAGACAAAACCTCCCCCATTCACACATTCACGTCTCTTCCGTACTATTTTGCTCTGAATTAACCCTTTAAAATCCCAGGATTATTACATATTAAGGCTTATTACAAATTAATCAGTACTTACAGGTACTTTAATGCAAACTGGTTGAGTTATTCTTAGGTTATAGAAGTGTGTAATACAACTGTGGGCCCCTCGCCATATAAGGGGTTAACCTACTGTTCAGAGTCCCCCTGTAACACAGCCCACAGCCCCCGCCCCCACCACTCACACTTTTTCATTGCAAGTACATCTCTTGTATCTGCGATCGGCAGATCTTGCGCTCCACCCCCATACACCGTTCACTTGTACTGCTACCCTAACAAAGCTCTGTGCCACCCCTTTGCCACCCATGGTAACATTTTCCAGAACCACCACTGCGCTTACCTGGTTAGTACCTCAAACTTAAGGGACTGGAAGAGGAAGCGTTACCTAAAAACTATATATACTGGAATTCAAACAAGAGGGCATCTAATTTGTTTTTATTTTGGGAGAAAAATAGCACATTATGCAAAAAAAAAAAAACAGATGAGAGGTGTATTAGCTGTCATCTAATGTAGTAATGCATCATCTAGTGTTAGTGTTGTTTGAAGAAGTGTTTTCAAAATGTAGCAGATGAAAGAGAGGAGCATAGCTGCAGTCCACAATTCGTTGTTAATGCAGGGGGATGTCACTGCTTTGTTGTCTAGATCTGATTTGCAATATTTGGATACATAACTTCTGGTTCTTTCTCTCTTTCTCTGTTCCAGGTGCAGGATGCAGTGCGCTGTCGAATGGGTGGCTGTAAAGATGACAGTGAGAACTCTCCAGACTCCTGCAAGAACGGCCAGGTGCAGATCATGGTGAATAACATCTCATTCCACCTCATCTCACGTAGACCTGCAAGAGGACTCCCTCATAGATGTCAACATGTCATGGGCTACTGTAGTCTCCATAGTGGAAATTTTGAAGTATCAGCAAACAATGTGCACATTTTTGGCTATTAAATGTCTCATTATCAGTGAAAACTTAAATGCATATTGACCATATAAAGTCAGTCATTACATCAATAGAACAAAATTCCACATTATCTTTGCTGCATCTCTGATTTTCTTAACCGTTTCCATCTGTCGTCGAATCTGTACCATGTAAAATTGTATATTTGTTATGTAAATGATGGTTGTAATGTGGCTGATAAGTTTTCCTCTCCAATCCCTCCGGTGATTGAAGATGAGACTAGGTTGTATCCACGGCAACCGCAGCAGCCCTCCACAGGGTGTGCAGTCTTGTTTTAAAGAGGAAGAACCACCTTGTCAGTCCTCTCCTCTGCCTCCCTCACTTTTCTTCTCTCTTTTCTCTCCTTTCTTCTCTTCTTCTCTTATTACCTCTTTTTATTCTTCTAATAATTCTGTACTTTCTCCTCCTCTTCTCCCTTCTCCTCTCCTTTTATTTTTTATCCTCTCCCTCCTTCCCTACTGCTCTCTTTTGTTCTCTTTTCCTCTTGTCCCTTCTTCTTTGTTCTCTTTTTGCTTCCCCTCCTTTCTTCTTATACATCTTTCTCTTCTCTTTTCTTCTCTTCTCTTCTCTTCTCTTCTCTTCTGCTCTTCTTGTATATCCTTCTTTTTCTTCTCTTCTGTTCTCTTTCCATCTCTTCTCTTTCTATGTTCCTTTTCTCTTTCTGATCTCTTGTCCTCTCTTTTTCTTTATCCTTCTCTTCTCCTTTCTTCTCTTTACCTCTGTGTTCCTTTTCTCTTTCTCTTCTCTTTTTCATGTTGCTCCATCATTCTGTCTTCTCTTCTCTTCTCTTCTCTTCTCTTCTCTTCTCTTCTTTTTTCTTTCTCCTTCCCTTCTCTTCTCTTTTCTTCTTTTCTCCATCCTTCTGTGTTTCTCCTCTTCTGTTCTCTTCTCTTCTGTTCTCTTCTGTTCTGTTCTCTTCTCTTCTGTGTTCTTTTCTTTTCTTCCTTTCTGTGTTCCTTTCTTTTCTATTTTTCCTCATCCTCCTCTTCTCTTCTCCATCCTTCTCTTCTCTTCTTTTCTTTTCTCTCTCGTCTCTTCTATGTTAATTTTTTCCTTTTTCTTTATCCTTCTCTTCTCCATCCTTCTATGTTCCTTTTCTCTCTTCTCTTCTCTTCTCTTCTCTTCTCTTCTCTTTTCTTTTCTTCTCTTCTCATGTATCTCTTTCTCTCTCTCTGTCTTCTCTGGGTGGGCAGCGATGTCCCCTGTACACTCAGGATCAGCGTGGTTCACTCAGATACACTCCAGCATGCAGCCAAACTTGCCACCCAGCCTGCCATGCACATCCTCCTCTGCCCTACAACAACCATAACCACAGCCACAACCACAGCCACGGGCCTAACCACAACCACTCCCACCCTCTCAACCACAGCCACAACCCCAGCCTGGAGCACACGCAGGCAGCCGTACGTCTGTCACACGCCAGTAGAGCTGCTGCTGTGTCTGTGTGTGCTGTAGTAGCAGCTGTGGTGTGGTGAATTCTAGAGTGTAATCGACAGCATAATGTGAACATATTAGATGGCTAATTAGATAAGTAGCTCGCTGTCAGCAGGTTTTACTTCAAGTTCATTTAGTGTAATATTATACAAGTGCACATTAGTTTCTGTGAATGCATGACGTTCTCTGTATCTGTCTCTCTCTCTCACATACATAAGAACACATCGCTTTAAACATTTGCTGTAAAATTGATCTTAGTGAGTAAAGCCTGACTGATTTGATTTGAATAATCTCTGAGCAATACCAAGCTAAAATTTTTCAATAACTAGTATCATTTTATATGACTTCAAATTTTAGTTAAACAGTGCATTAATGACTAGAATGATAATCAGTTGTCACATTTCTTAAACTCAGTTCATATCAGAAGCTCACAAATAGTAAATGGTAAAAATATTGTAGTGTGGGGGGGCGGAGCTTAGTAGTTTTGTTGTTATTAAAGCAGTAAGCCATGAGGTGAGCTTTACAGTGATTTATCTTGTCGAAGGGGTGTTGACCTGAACCATTGTCGCGATAATGCTAATTTCTGTTAGCACCTGAGTGTGATTTCCTGTGTTATATTAGCATCAAGCTAACAGTGTTACACGCTTGCTTACACAAAGTAGTTTAATACTGCTTATGGCAAATCTAGGCAAAAACACAGACATTTGAAGCTTGTGTCAGCCGATTACACGTTACATTTTGAAACTTTGTACAACATCAAACTTTTTAATTTAAAAGATTTAATTTAATTTAAAAGATTGTGAATATGGAACTCTTGACGGAATGTTCTGCTGTCCACTGGGGTGTGATGCCGATGCTGTTGCCATTGGCAGTGGCAGAATTTTGGCCACAGTCCCTTTGAAAATAATGGAATCTTCCCTGCTAGAAATACCAGCATAGACCAGCATAGCTGGTCACCACCGAAACCAGCAAATCACTGCTGTTGGAACAAAACCTCGTATCTCCAAAACGGTAACTTTACAGGAGAAGGAAAAAACTACTTTACTTTCAATGTAAGTCAATGGAACCAGACTTTTTCCTAAGTAATTTTTTTTACAAAAATGGAGATATGAGGTTTTCTTCCAACAGCAGCGATATGTTGTGTTTTGGACGCTAGTATAGTGGTATAAACATGCCAGGTGACCAGCTAAACCAGCACCAGGCCAGCATAAACCAGCTAAGACCAACATGGAATGTGTAATGTGTTTTTTAGGGCAGTTTGCCATCAACCATAGATTTACATGCATTTTACAGCCATCAGTTTTGTTTTATACAAGTAAACCCACAGTATCAGCTGATAGTGGTCAAATTTGTAGGACGTGCTGATGTTTTCTCCCAATTTAATGTCCTAGCTAAAGTTTTTTCCCAATTTAATGTCCTACCTGAAGGTCTGTGAGAGGGGCTTTAGTGATCAGTGGCAGTGAGGGTCTGAAGTATTGGAGCTTTGAAAGTACTGCCCCCTGGCAACCTTTTTTGTGCCCATTCACGTGACTTGAGTTTTAGGGTGTATGACTCTTGTCTTGGCCCTGGTCTTTAACTGAAACGGAGTAGTGTGTGTTATCGATCCACACTTTCTCCAGCAGCTATATGCTTTGTCCATTCAAGCAAGATATTGAAATGCTCCCTGCTGCTAAGGCATGTTTTTATTTTATTTTTTTTACTGCGGAGGTGTTGCAGAGGTGTTGCGATAGACTGGTTCAGGTTTGTATTTTCAAAGAGGACGTGACGATAGCTAAAACGAAACCTTTTTCGTTGAACTCCTCCACCCACCCATGTCCTGTGTGTCTTCACTCTCCACTCACCTCTCATCCTATGCAGAAATAACTGCTCAGTTAGCACCTCCGACATAACATAGCAATAGCCTATTGATGCAGCTACTCCATACAGGAGCTAAAACGCCACATGGTTAAGTTGTATTAATCTGTTCTCTTCTCTGCTACTATCCCACGCAGACCGACTTTGAGAAGGATGTGGACTTGGCCTGTCAAACAGGTAAGTATCCCTAAGTGCTTCTGTCCTTTCTAGCGTTGCTTCTTTCTATCTCTGCCTCTCAGTTGCCTCCTCTGTTGATTTCTTTTCACTTTCCATCTGTTCTTTCATATTTCTGTGGTTCTAACATTGTGGCTATGGCGATTTGTTTTGGTGATGTAACGCTAACCCCGCTCATCATTTTCTCCCCTCCCTTGCAGAGAGAGGACATCCATGTAAGTCTCACTCTGAGTCAAAGTGTTTCTCTTTGTTTTTTATTGCAATTAGAATGATGTTTTTTTTCATCAAACTGCATACAAAGCTGGCATGACTTTTTGTTTACTCCCCTCTTACCTTGTTTTTTTGGCCATCTGGGCTGTTTTGTGTAGAGCCCTCCAACAGCACTGAAACAACAAAGTTGAATTTGTTTTTTTGCTGTATACTCAAGCAGTTTGACTAAGGCCAAAATACAAATAGGAGGCAAAATTACATTGTTATTTTGGTATATTAGCACTGCATATGTTCAGCTCCTCTGGGCCTCATTCATGAAACCTTAAAACCTTGTAAATACACAAGCAAACCACAAGTAAATTACAAGTAAAAAGAAAAACATTCCTCCAAATTCACGTTCACAAATTTGGTAATAGTTTGGTAATAAATACAGTTCATTAATATACACATGTAGCACTTGCATACTTCTTTACATTTAGCATACTATTAATATTATCCATGCCCATGTATTACAGGTGACCAACCATATAAGGAAATCAATAAGTAGTAAGCTTTCAACGTGTCTACACAAAAGGATTTTATCAAACTTCAGTAGCTCAGATTATTGCTCTGTTAACTTACTACTATTTAAGGTTCAGCTAACTCAAAATTTTAAGGCAGCCAGGTCACTTTTTTAAGAACACCATATTTTAGTACATTAATTCTTAATGGCATTCTTTATTACATTTATTTAATTTTCTATTATCTCTAGTGCACAGCACCTAAGCTATACAGGGTGTCCCGAAAAATTGACATCATTTGAGATGTGAATGTCTGAGTAGCTACATGTCCTGGCAAATGAAATTAAAGAGGCTCCATGTTGAACAATACAAGATTTATTTATCAAAATTCGAACAAGAAATTCAGAGGGATGTAGACTTTATAACCGATTTCACAGCTTCACAAATGTAATATCTTCTGATACGGGTGGTCGTCCAGATCCCTTTGTCCTGCACAGACAGCCTTCCTCTTTGAATTTTTTGTGCCATGTCCAAATCTGCTTTCCAGTTGGTGCATTTTTATTGAATTTTCGAAAATGCACGCTGCACGCTCTTGTTTGACTGTGTTCGAGCATATTCTAACACACAAAATGCCTTTTCATTTCTAGTGAACTTGGTTAGTTTTTACACATTTTGTTAAAATTTGAGATTATTTGAGGGAGAATTGGCTGTTATTAGACTACGAAATTATGTCAATTTTTTTGGGACATCCTATATTTATCCATAATAATTTATGGCTCTGAGGGTTAATAAGTGGGGTGCTTTAAAAGTTTAAAGACATATTACTTTATAAAATAGTGTCTATAACATATTATAGTTTTAATAAACATTATAATTTTTATTATATTGAAGCTAATTAATGCAGTTGCAGGCTATACAGTGATGCTCCAAATGAAAAGCTTTAAAAAATGAAACTGAACATGCATGTGCTTTCATTCGTGTCCACTGTTAAGTTTACTTTTACTTTTAAAAGCATTAGTTCAAGGGTCTTATAGTACCAGCCCACAAGACAGCTTCATATGGCCCATCACATATTTATAATTTATCCTTAAATGAGGCCTGCAAAGTTTTTTTTTATTTGCTTTTCTCTGCAGCTACATATTTACATATATATTTAAGAGTGGATTTGCTTTACCCACTACACACTGTAAGTTGGTGTCTGACTTGGAAAATCTGCATTAGTTAGTTGATGTTTGTATAAAACGCTGTCATGTCAGTTTTCTACAATGAACAGAACACATTTGGCTGTGTTTTGGAAGGTACATACACTTCACGCATGGTCAGAAGCAGGTGTACATTTTTTATTCATACTTGCAAACATTTTCAGACTGCAGACATTTTGAGACTGCAAAGGTTTTCATGAATACAGAGTTTTATGTGAAAATTGATTTACACACAAAACTATTCTGCTCATGTTTCATAAATGAGGTCCAATGACTGCATTGGTGCTACAACCAAATCTCCAACGTTCTGCCTTTGGAGCCTGTCTTTGCAGACAGTAGGTACGAACCAACATGGACACTTAAGAGCTGTATGTAAAAAGATGAAACAGTCCTGGTGAAATCAGATAATGCAGAACAGAGACACAGAATTCATTCATAGCAAAATCAGCTTTGGAATATGTTTAAAAAAAGAAAGTATGTGCTAATTGGCAATGACCAAGTCAGCTGAGGTTAAGTAGCTAAATTATCAGAGCTGTGAAGAAAACCACTAAAAAACACTCACTGAAATCACCAGTGAAATAATCATTGACCTCCAGAGCACAGGAACATGTTTACTACGTATTTATTACAAAAATGCCTCCAGATGAATTTGTTATTGCTCGAGTATGCAAAGTTTCTGCCCAAATATCTTTTCAGAGGACCATCGTATGCAGGCTTTTGTAGACTATTGTACAGCTGTGAAACAACACTTTTGTGAAGATTATCTGGACCTCTGCATGAATGGATCTGATCTTAAATCCTAATCATCAATCAAGATGTTCTTATTGAACAAACAGTGCTTACATCACACACCCTACAGTGCCCTAATATTATACAGTAACACTTGCTTTTATGGTACTCCAAGGTCTAAATAATAACCAGGTAGGTGTGAGGCACAAACTACATCCTACAAAACAGAACATGATGGTGAATTCCAGAAGAGTCTAGCTAAATTACACTGAATTGCCCATGTGTGGAACAATATCCAGCATAGTAGGTCATCATTTTGGGTAAATATACAGACAGTCTAACAGTGAACAGTGAAATTTTGTGAATGTTTGAACTTATGAACTTAGAAAATTATCCAGTGCTGAGATGCTGCTGTTGGCCGTTTCAGTGTAGACTGTTAGACTGTTTTGGAAATTACCATCACGTTATTAAATTTTAATCACGTAGTATTTTGAGGGGTTGTATCTCACATTTACCTGTTTAATACCTAGAAATTGGGGGGCTGTAAAAGTGTTACCTGTTATTGAATGAATAGTTTAACCACTCAAGATTACTTATTGAAAAAAAAAAAAGTATTATTTTGTAAATTGCCGAACTTCTTTTATTAGTAGCTGTCTCACCCATATGCTTTATCTAGCTCCTAGTCAGTCCACTGGTTATGTTAATTGGTATTTTAACTCATTCCTCTGTATGAAACTATTTCAGCTCATTTGACTTGGCCATTCTAAAATGCAGAATTTTCTCTGAGTTGCTCTGCTGTTGATTTACTCCTGTGTTCTGGATCATTGTCATGTTGCATGACCCTAACTACCTTTAGATCACAGACAACAGTCCTGATACCTGATACAACAAGCCCTGAGACATCAATGACATTGACTTTTCAAACCACTGTTTCAATTAAGAAACAGCGCTGTAAAATGAAGTGTGGTGTTTGGTAACCAAGTTTGTCTTCCTTTTTGTTAAATAAGAAAGTTTTAGATGAAGCTTAGATGAACATCAGGTCACTTTTTTTACAAGCCATTCATGCTGAAATCCAGATAAATTTAAAAGGTTCAATAAGCTTTCTCACCACTGTATACTGTAGTCAGCCATAAGAGCCATGTGATGGCCATAGTAATTCTGTTGTACAACTGGTCCATTATTTAGACTGTCCTTGCATCCAAACTGGAGAGGCATCTTAAGATTAGTTTGGCATGCTCAGGCCTCTGTGGCACTAGATGAGGTGCCACATAGCAAGTGCTTTAACCCCTTAAAATCTGAGGCTTATTATATGCTAAGGCTTATTATTCAGTAACTACAGGGACTTCAGTGCAACTAGTTGAGGTATTCTTAATTTATAGAAGTGTGTTATAAACCTTTGGGGTAAGGGGTTAAAGCCTTGTAATAAGTAATTAGATGTTGGCTTTATTTTCCCAAATTCACGATTTGCAAGCATGGATGGTTTTATGTAAAATTTAAGGCAAACCAATGTGTGTGAACCGAGTGTCTTATTTTGTAGTTACTGTTACAAGGTTGGATAACTTGTACAGGAGTATGTGTGTATGTGTGTGTATATATATGTACACAATTTTCACAATGTATATATCGTTGCTGTCCAAGGAAAACCATGTATCTCTATTTTTGTTAAATTGTGAAAATTTCATTATTAGTGGACCAATAAAAATGCTCTAAAATTATTGCACATTTTAAACAAATATGCATACAGTTTTTTTTCCAGACACAGTACTTTCACATACTTACAAAACTAGACCTGAAGTTAATAATGTGATCTACATTTTGGTGCTACAACTTCTCATTAGGTTGAATGTGACATTCTGTAAAGCTTACCCAACCTGGCAACAGTTGCTATGAAAGAATGCATTTGTGGGACAGTTGACTTTGAACAGTGACTACAAGATAATGAGGATTTCCTTGAAAGTAAAGCCTGTTCTCTGGCCTGCATGGGGTTGAATAGGTAGCTCCTTTTTCTGCAAGATTAGTGGACTCTGTTCATGCATGCGTATGGCTTTCCTTCCAGTCCTGCGCTGCAATCTCACTTCTGTTTCTTTCTTCCAAATCTGCATGCAACAACTGACCACCAATCCTCAAACCCATCTGCATCTTGCACCCTTTGACCTCTGACATGCTCATTCTCATTCGCTGTAACTGAGCTCATTCTCTTTTGTCTCTCCTCTCATCTCTCTCTCCATGATTCACCCTCTCTTTACACACTCTTTACTGCCTCTGTCATCTTCTAATGCCTTCACACCTTCACGCTCTCACTCTGGCTTCCATTCATTCTGTCATACATCATTTTGTTTGCCATTTATTTTTATGGACCTTTTGCAATCATCCATGGTGCGTCTGTCTGTCTGTCTTTCTGTCTATCTATCTGCTTCTCTGTCACTGTCTGTCCTTTCTTTTTCTTTCTTTGCTCTGTTCTATCTCTCTGCTGTGACCTCTCTCTCTTGTCGGTCATTTGCACTCTCTGTCCCTCTCTTTTCTGCTTTTGTGTGCACTCTCCCTTTCTCTCTCTCTGCCTTTGCTCTTTTTGCTTTTCCTCTTGTCTTCCCTGTCTTTTCCCTACCCCCTTCTCTCTCTTCCTCCTTTTTGCTCTCCTTCTCTCTTTTCTGTCTTTCCCATCTATTTCTCTCCTTTTCTCCACTATCCCTTTCCTCTTTGTCTTCCTCTGTCTCTCTCACCTCTTTTCCCTTTCTTTTTTATCTGTTTATCTCTCTTTCCCTCTTTATTTCTCCCTTTTCTCTCTGTCTTTTTCTGCTCTCCGCTCTCTCTCTTCCTTCTCTTCCTCTCTTTCCCTCTCTCTCTTTCTCTATCACTCTCTCCCCCTTTTTTGTCTCTCCCTCCATTTTCTACCTTTTTTCCCTTGCTCTCTCTTGTCCTCTCTTTTGTCCTCTTTGTCTCTCTTTCTCTCTCTCTCTCTCCTGCTCTCTCTCTCTCTCTCCCTCCCTCCTCTTCCTCCCTTCAGTCATCTTTAAGGAGGTGAACACCTGTAACCCAGCAACCATCACTGGCACCCTGTCCCGGATCTCGCTGGACGACGAGGATGACCCCAAGCTGGCAGCCCATCAAGAAGGGGTCAACTTCAGTAGTCTACCAGGGAACATCCCACCCCCCAACCTGCTGGTGCAGGTGCCCCCTGTGGCCCCCCTCAACGAGCTCAGTGAGCAGCCCCTGAAGAAGGAGGTGAACGTGGAGCAGGGCGGACAGCAGCAGCGTCAGCGCTCCGGCCCCGTCTACCTGTGCACCGAGAGTGGCCTGGGCTGGGCCCGGCCGCCACCTTCTGCTTCAGAGCCAACGGGGGGAGGCGGCGGTGGGGGGGCCGGGGAAGGGGACTACATGGTCCTGCCGCGGCGGACAGTCAGCCTCAAACCCCCTCCTCCTCCGCCCCAGGACGAGGGCAAGCCCCTAAACATCACAGTGGATGACCCACCCTTCCCCCCGCCCCCTTCCCCCCTGACCCTGCACCCGGCCGAGAGCGAGGCCTACCCCGCGGACTTCGCCGCCGTAGACCACATCAGCATGAACCTGAACCGCTCCTATGGCACGCTCAAGCAGCTGCCCGCCCACGCCAACACCCACAACACGCTGCAGGTGAAGCAGGGCCGGCCATCCGTCCGGCACATCCTCACCTCGGGAACGGTGGAGCGCACCAGGACCCTGCCCCGCAACCTGGGCAGCACCAACACCAGCCTCTCTGCCGGATCCCTAGAAGTGAGTAAAGATCAGAGGGGTTCACCACTACTTTTGCTGTCATAAGAAAACCTTGTATCTCTGAAATGGGAAACATCAACATCAGTTAATGTTCACTACTATTCAAAAGCTTGCAGTGATTTGTTATATTAATAATCATTATTAAATAATAGCTTAAACAATGTAGAGTAAAATGTTATAAACTAAACACCAAATCATAAACCTTTGTTTTATTTACAGTTAAACATATCAGGGAAACAACAAGAAGTTATGATAAGTGCTTTTCGAATATGAGACAATCTGGGTATTAATTTAATTATAAGCTAATTCTTGATGCCATACTGGTTTCTCAGTAATTATGAAATCACCTACAGCTCCATTCACCTTTTTAAGTTTTCTTAGCTTCCTAGAAATTGAAAAACCAAAAATAATATTAGCATCATATTACAATCATATTAAACATGTAAACTTTGGTCTCGCTTTATTTGGATAGTCCACTATAGTCTCTTAGAGGCCCCTATAGATTATCTACAGATTTTCAAATTGTTAACAATCTGTTGAAACTGTTGATTCTAAACAGTGGTGGGGTTAGGGCAAGAACCAGGGTTAGCGCTAGGACCAGGGTGAGGGTTGGGTTTAGGTTTTGGGTTGAGGTTAAGGTTAGGGTTATAATTAGAGCCAGACTTAGAGTTAAAGAAAATTATGGTCAATTTAGTAAATATTGAGTTTATTGTAACTTAAAAGTAAATTGAGTATCAACAAAACATCTAAAGTGGACTATCCAAATAAAGTGTTACCTAACAGTACTGAAAACAGTGATTCCACTTTTGAATGAACTTTTGAATAGTAGTGCAACTTCAGAAGGTGAAAGATTTGCTTTTCAAATAGTATAAAGAAAATAATATAAAGATTTTCCTTAATAAAATGGTTTTCTTATTACAGCAATGAGTTTCAAGGTTTTCTTTTGACATTGATATTCACTGATTGGTGCTGCGAGCTAAAACAAACTAAACATATTGCTGTAGTCTGGAAACACTTTAAGAAGCAAAACGGAGTAGTGCCAACACAAGCCTCTGCATTTGCTTCCAAAGAATCAAAGCCCCTAGTACAGGGGTGCTCAGCTGCAGTTCTGGGGCCTTCCTGCCCTGCATGGACAGTTTAAAGCATTCTGTCACCTGAACGTGATCAAGTTAATGAAGGGCTTGATAATTAGCAGATGAGCTGGATCAGTTGTGTTGAGGGAGGGAATGGCTGAAACTGTGCAGGGCAGTGGGTTCCCAGTAAATGACGACTAGTCAATTAGTTAACAGTGTTTTTGAAGAACTCAAGTAGTTGACTTGTAAAAATGAATAGTTGTTCACTCTTTAGTTTGTGTCCAGTATAATGTCTGAGTTGAGTCAGGTTGCAATTGCAAAATGGCTTAATTAGGATAATGCAAATCTTATACTCCCAGCATGAAGTGATCAAAACACAGGCAGGCAATATCAGAGGCATATTCATATTCAAAAACCAGGAAGAAGACAAGGGTCAAACAGGAAATCATAAACACAAAGTAACACGGCTCAGTACTGAGTTAGAAAGAGCAGAGACATCGCAAGGCACAAGGCCAAACAAAGGGGTATTTATATGCCAATTAATGTCCATGAAATTAGCTGCAGGTGTGTGTAGTGGAGGTGAGTAGGTGGAGCCAGGGAGAGTTCAAGTGGGTCTCCCCAGAGATAGACATCATGACATCCAGCCTTTTCCTGTTTTAAGCCTGAAAAATGACAGTTACACCTACCCTGCAACTTGACATTTGTCTGAACCCCTTAGTAGCCTTCAATTACAGGAGAAAATCCAGCAAGACTATTGTATGGTAATTAGGACTTTAACACCTATTGGCTGATGACATTGGCATTAGCCATCAACAAACGCAGAGCCGAACAGTTCTGAGCACGGAAGGTAACCGTTCCAATGGCGTTTCCACACAGACACGGTTCAGAACGCTGAAAAACTGGACTCTTCATGGTTTTCTCAACATGGTTAGCTAACCACGTTCAGGGCCACAGAACTGTTCGGTGGGATGACGTAATGACGTAGCTATTCACTTATTGGCTGTTTCTGGTCCTACGTTGATGTCGGTATTGTGCCACTGCATTTTGTGCTATTTCAAACCCAAAAACAATAAAACAAGTTCAGTTTGCTCACAAATAAATAAAAGCAGTGCACGATTGTATATCCATTCCATTTTAAAGCCATCCGGTAAATGCCTGAGCTTCAATCTAACAACAGTTTCTAAAGCTGCTAACCAGGAGAGAGTAGCTGGTTAGTATTAGCTTGGCTAGCATGCGTCCAGCTCTGCTTACCACTGAACAGGTTTGATTCAGACAAACAAAAGCTTTACTGACACAAGTTTAGATGATAATGACTCAAATCTGGGGAAGTGAAGTCGAATGACTGATATTAGAGGGAAAGAAAGCTGAAATCAAACCTGTGCTCTGGTTTTTGGATCTGTAGCCTCCTAGCTAAGCTAATGCTAGCCTGCTCCTCTCTCCCAGCTAGCTTAGCTAGTGAGATCCAAACAGCCCAGTACAGGTTCAATACAGATCCAGTGCAGCTCTGAGAACCATTTGGCTCAACAGAGGAAAAGAGGCCATTGATTATAGAGAAAAGCTGTACTAGAAACATTAAAAGGCCTTATTCTTTGATGAGTCGATTAATTGGATAATAGTCTGTAGTTAAATTAATTATAGTAATTATTCGTAAATGATCTCCCAGCATTTACACCAGGATGAAGAGACTGGGATGGTAGAGGGCTGACATTGTAGTGCTGACTGTGGGACAATGAGCCTGCAGTGAGAGATTATTTGTAATCAAAAAGCATCAGTAATGAAGCAGATAGTGTGAAGTTCTTGATGAAACCATGCTAAAACATACACACACACACACACACACACAAACACATAGCACTGTAGAAGATTCTGAGATTACCCTTCATTTATTTAATTTCAAGTCAAAGCAGCCTTTGAATACTAAGTTATTCATTTGTCAGTTTCAAAAGGAAACAAAAAATCATTTATTTACTGGAAAACTGCAAATAAGGCTTAACGACTAAATATAATTTCAAAATTTTCAGTATTTAGTGTCCACTCTTAGCCTTTAGTATAGCCTCTGTTCCTTTCAGGAGACTTGCTTTCAGTTTTTCAGGTAAATCTACAAAAGTTCCCCCAAAGTTTAGTTTTAAAAATTGGCCTCACTTTCTGCTTCTCACAATCCAAGTAATCCCAAAAAACATTTAATGATGTTTAATTTGCAAATGTTCCCTTTTGTTTATTTCCTTTCCACTTCAACCACTTTTTGGCAGCTGTATGTCCTTTCAGATCCATAGCGTTGTGTTCTCAGAGTACAAAATCAGGTAAAAGGATAGACAGAAACATCTGGTGGCCCAACAGGTCTTGCATTGTTGTCAGGAATCCCATTTTCCTTATATATTATTCATTTTATGACCACCGGTTTTAGAAAATTCTGTTTTCCACTTATTTTCATTTGACTTTCCTATTCCTTGTGCAAGTGGATTATCTCAAACCTAATCTCCTCAGAAATATCTCCTGAAAAAATGTTTGACTGAAAATGAAATAACTGAGGGGTGGTCTCTGACTTCAGCACAGTACTGTAAAATGGTGTTTGACAAGAGTAATTAAATGGAAATACAGGTACAAACACACACGCATGAACAGGCTCTGATAGCTTGTGATGATCAGCAGCTCTGAATGAGACGTATTATTAAAAGAAGGTCACAGGAGTGTTATATCTAGTTGTAATCATCCTATCATCATCTATTTCCTTAATACCAGGGATAGATGATTGTGTACCATCTCCTGCACCTCAATCCCCACACATGCTTATCACCTAGCAACTGTCATAATTCTCCCCCACAGAAATGTCCTCGGTTTATTTAAGGTGTACCTTATCTCCGAAATCCATGTCAACATGGTCTTACACAACATGCCGTCTGTCTGAGCAGGGGTTGAGTGTGTACACACGTAACGCCTGTGTGTGTGTGGGAATGTGTGCCTATAATTACACTACAGCCCCATAGAGAGGGATGGCAGATGGAGGAGAAAGAGGCTAAGCCAAAGGAGATGCCCAGGAGATGCTCTTCCTTCATTAGAGCATAGACACACAAAAACTCTGTCCCACTACCTCTTTACTCTCACATGGACACACACACAGTGTGTGTTCTGCAGGGCTGCTGGTGGCAGGGGTCTCCTTCAGACAGCACTTTCTAAACTCAGTAGGTTAATTAAGCAAAGTGAGACTCTCTCTCTCTTCTCTCACTTCCTTTTTTTCTCTTTTCTTCTCTCTAAATACGTATAAGTAAGGTTTTGGAGGCAGGATGTTTAATTAAAGAGCATCTCACCCACAGTTTCTGCAGGAAACAGGCAATGTGCAGTGTGAAGATTTTACCTGATTCAGTACTAGTCTGACATTTACTTTAGTGGTGCTGTCGTTTGCTGCGTATTTGAAAATTAGAACTGTTTATAAGGTCATTGCGAATGACTTCATAAATATATTACTCATATAACACTATAAATATAATACTCAATAAAAATAAATGCTCACTTTTATTTAGCCAGCCTGACGTGGCAAGTTATGTGATATTATCAGCATTGCAGTTCACATTTTTCCTTCATCCCTATATGTTGCGAGTTGGGTTAGAGCAATAATATAGACCGTCTAGGAGGCCGTGAGGTCGGGTTGGGAACCACTCGTCTATGTCATTTCACCCCAGTAAGTGACACAATGTCAGGAAGTTATGTCAACTTGACGTCAAAGTTGACAAACGCAACCTTTATGACAAATGATGCCTATTAAAATGTGTTTATAAATGCTTATGTAGGTTTGTGTTAGCTGTCATAAAGGGCTTATGTAGGTTTCATGTAGCCTTATGGATGCTGCCCTATAGTAAAGAGTTACAAAGTAAATTAATTCCATACAGTATGTTTAATGTAAAACTTTAAAATCGATAAAACTTTGTGTAT